CCATGCGAGATCTATTTTACTTACCCAAGAAATATTTTTGTATATGTGTTCATTTACATTTTTGAATTAAGATTTTATTTTATTTTATAATGGAGAAAATTTAAGTGTGGTAGAGCCAGTTTCGGCACTAAATGAGCTGGTTCGACTAAAGTGATACTACGGCCTCACAGAAAACCGACTTGAAACAACGCTTGTGTTGTGTTTCATCGTGTGATGTGTGTGTGTGTGTGTGTGAGGTTACCGAAGGCCCAATTACCCCTCTTGCCCAATCTTCCCAATCTCTAATTCCCAACAACCCTCAAATTCCTAATCCCCAATAGGCCGGTAACGCACCTGAAACGTCTCTGGTGTTCCAGGTGTCAATGACCGGCATTGATTACTTACCATCAGGTGATCCGTCTGCTCGTTTATCGACTTATCTTATAAAAAAAATCTGTAGGTATTTTGTGTCATGAGCTCGTGAAAACTATCAAATTAATTTATATTATTTTCCTACGTTTGCGTTTTACAAATAGTTTCAAGCCACAATGAGAGATCTTAGTTACAAGACGATTTAATTTGATTCACAATTCATTTATCATATTTTATAACAATTAATTTTTTTTCTATGTGTATATTTTATTTATTGTTATTATTTTATATTAAGTATTTATATTTATACTATATTTATTTAGTTATTATTTAGCTTTATTTTTTTTATACATATTTCTTATTTTTCTGTTACACACTGTGTCTTTCGTTTTAATTAGATTTCCTGTCTCAGATCTACTGGAAGAAATTCCAACAGGAATAAGTAGCACCTTTGTACTGTTATTTTATATATGTGTTATCCTCTGTGCTGTCTGTGTGTACATCAATTATTAAATAAAAATAAATAAATAAATAATAGAACTCATTCGATATAAAACAAGTGACAAGCAAGGGGTCCGTATTACTGGGTCTTTAAAAATTTCTCAGTAGTAGCTCGGAGTCTGGAATTGTGCCCGGTATATGGCAATAGGCTCACCCCTTATTACATGTGACTCATAACATAAATAGTGAAAAGTGGGTCCTGTACACTGGACATTGTACAGTGGCATAATGTGCACCTCTGCCTTCCCCTTCGGGGATAAAAGGCGTGATGTTGTGTTATATATTTTATAACCAAAGCTACATAATTATATTACAAATACACAATATGATCCGTACATAATCACATCGTCATTTGTTTTTCTTGATTACGAAGAAAAATTATTTTTATTATTCCGAGCGCGAATACTACGGTTTGAATGTTAATGAGTTCAAGGACCTGTATTTATTGTGATACTCATTACATCTCTCGGTTTCACTCAAAATATGAGCATCAACAGCCTATACGTGACCACTATTGACCAAAGGCCTCTTCTCACACGGAGAAGGTTTGAGCATTAAACATCACGCTTACAATTTAGCGATGGCAAATTTATAATTAGAAATTATAAGACCAGGTTTCCTCACTCAGTTTCATTCACCGTTTGTCAGTGGTGTCTGAATAATCTTAGAAAGTACATATAATTCGGGAAAAGTCACATTGGTTCATGCTGTTGATAGGTTTTGAACCCGCACCCTCATGCATGAGAAGCGGGCGTCTTAATACTCTACAATTTAACAATGCAATATTATTATCTAGAACTGTCAAAACGTTTACCTAATTGCTTATAGCGTCTCCAGTTGCCGTATTTGATTTAATGAATACGTACAGAGAGACGACAGATGTTTTGCTGTGCACCTTCAAGGATATTATCTGTGTGCACACTTGCACAGTAGTTTAGTACAGTTACATTATTGTAAACATTTACATAACATCACGCCTTTATCCCCAAAGGGGTAGGCAGAGGTGCACATTATGCCACTGTACAATTTAACACCCATTTTTCACTATTTATGTGATGGGTCCCATGTAATAGGGGGTGAGGCTATTGCCATATACCGGGCACAATTCCAGACTCCTTGTTACTACTGAGATTTTTTTAAACTGTCAAACACCACGAGGACACCGTTTACCGCAACCTATTGTTCTTTAATTGAGTCTATAATGACGGTACTCAAAGGGTTAAACCTAGTAATACTTTGCCCGACCCGGGAATCGCACCCGAGACTCCTTGCCCGGCAATCGCACTTGCGATCACTCGGCCAACGAGGCAGTCTACATTTATGTTTGCATTATTAATACAATTTCATCGATATTGAGTTTGGAGTACCCTCAACCGACGAGCATGCTAGAAAAGACTGATGACTGTTGATGAAGCAAAAGAGGTATGTAAGAACCGTAGCAATTGGCGTCCCATAGTCTCTGCCTACCCCAATTGGAGACAGGCGTGAGGTTATGTATGTCTATTGTTTGTTTGAAGGTGCTAATTTGCGGAACTACTGGATTGTCTTTTTTAACCCTTTGAGTACTATCATTATAGACACAATTAAAGAACAATAGGTTGCGGTCACCGGTGTCCTCGCGGAGTTTGACAGTTTAAGATGAATAATCCATTTATCGAGGGAAGTTATGGGAACCGAGCAGCCTGTGACACTAGCTAACTATACCTAGTCTTCTACTTTACTCTATTAAATTTAATTTGCAATTATGTTACAATCATAATGTAACATAGTATGCTATGCTTTTTTTAAGAATGGAAAATCATCAAATTGTCTTCTCCCGCCTTTTTTTTTTTTTTTTTTTAAGGGGGGAAAATCATCGAATCACTGCTCCCGCCTGAGTGAGGCGGAAGGGAGTGTCAGACTCTTACTGACTAAAAACCACCCCGTTCCTTCTCCTGCACGTCGAGCCGGAGCCCCGGTTACCCGTTAGGTTCTCCGCGACTCCGAATCGGCATCGGCCCTAATGGGCCCCATCTGTGGTGGTCTGATGGCTCTTTGAGGCGCGCGCGGAACGCGACGCGCCGTACGCTCGGGTCTGTTTCTGGTCGGACGGGGAGCCACCCATGCTCGCCGTCCGCAGGCCCGCGCTTACGGTGGCCGGAGATCGTCCCGCGATCCCCGACGCCCGGTGTGTACTTCGCGATGGCTGGGTTGCGAGGAGGCAGCGCTTCGCTGCCTCACGCGTCCCGCCTCCTCCTTAGCTAGCATGACTGCTTCGCAAAAGGAGGAGACGGCATCCCAGTCCCCCTCGCTCCGCATCATGGCCTGCACTAGGCCCGGACGCGAGAGGTCGCCATCGCCGATCACTTCCCTGAGGGCACGGCGGTGCTCAGCCCACGCAGGGCATTCTCCCACTGTGTGTTCCACCGTGTCCTCAGGGCGGTCCTCGCAGTGATGACACCCGGGCGTTTCCTCCCGCCCCATCAGACACAGGTACCTCCCGAAACTTCCATGTCCGGTGAGGACCTGCGTCAGGCGGTAGGTGAGGACGCCGTAGCGTCTCTCAAGCCACTCCTCAAAGAGGGGACTTACCGCTGCAATGGCAGCGAGCCCAGCCCTCGGTTGCGACAGTCGTTGCTGCCATTCCGCCATGAGATCGCGCCGGAGCTCATCCCGCCACGCACTTATCTGGCGCGGCAGCGGAGTTTCGCCCCGGCGACGTGCCTCCGCGCGCATGATACACGCGCGCGAGCACCTTCGCCTCCAGATCCCACGGCGGGTAATCCGGCAAGGAGGTTCGCCGACTCCCCAGATCGTGCGGTATCCGCGGATCATTCGGATCGCCATGACCCTCTGTGACATGAGCAGCGTCCGAGCAGGACGCCGCAACAAGTTCGGCGCCCAAACAGGGGCGCCGTAGAGGGCCATGGACCGCACGACCCCGGCGTATAACCTCCGGCAGGAGGCGTTTGGCCCCCCGAGGTTGGGGAGGATGCGCTTAAACGCAGCCCCCGCCCTCGCCAACTTTGGAGCCAAACGTCGGAAGTGCTCCACGAAGTTCCACCGACTGTCGAGGACGAGCCCCAGGTACTTCATCGTCGTCTCGACGCCGATGGTAACCCCTCCCGCCATTATTTGGGACCCACCCGGAGGTGGCGCGTTCCCGCGGCCATGAAAACACATGGCCTCGGACTTGTGGAGCGCCACCTCGAGTCCCAACTGCCGGATTCTTTCAACGACTGTCGCAACCGCTGTCGCCGTTAAGTCGGCCGCCGCCTGGTGCGACCTCCCGTGCGCTAGCACCAGCGTGTCGTCGGCGTAGCATATTGTGCTAACGCCGTTCGGGAGGTCAGTGCGCAGCACCCAGTCATAGCCGATGTTCCACAGGAGCGGCCCCAGAACCGAACCCTGTGGAACACCGCGTGACATCTCTCGCCGGTTCCACTCGCCCCGGTGACCGGGGTAACTGACGGACCTGTCCGTCAGGTAAGCCTCGATTACACGACGGAGGTAGGTAGGCACCCGGTGATCCCGCCTAGGAGAGAGTGTCAGACTGTTACTGACTAAAAACCACTCCGTTCCAACTCCTGCTTTTACCTGGAGCCCCAGTAACCCGTTAAGTTGTCCGCAGTTCTCGGGCATCAGCCCTGCTGAGCCCCATCTGTGGTGGTCTGATGTCAATTTTAGACAGGCGCGGTACGCGACGCGCCGTATGGGTAGTAGGCTCTAGTAAACTCTGCTAAGCTAAGCAGTCGCACCAAGAGATTTTTATCTATTCTACTACCAAGCATTTACAATATATTCATATACCAAACATCAATTTTGTCAGTAGTTACTATTTAATAGAATAGAGAATGATTCTGATTCATAGATCTCTAATTAGACTGACATAAGCCTTTCTTGTCGAATTGAAATAAATGATTTTGACTATACAAAGTATTTATTAGTGTAAAATAGTATAGTTGCTCTATTTTGAATAAATTTTGAAACTATACATACTTCTGTAGTTATTTTCATCTTCATTTGAATAAATCAACCATTAATATCACGCTTTAAATTACCCTGAAATTATCAACTCCACATAACAAACATCGCATGCATTACTAACATAAAATGAAACATCAGTACAAGAATAATATAATTATCAAAAACTCAAATTATGTACTCACAATTGCTAAGAAATGTCCTTGAGAAATTATTCTTCAAAAGTTCACGAGTCAATTCGCATCTCTTGTACACTTTTGCTTGGAGTCCCAAACATAGCGTTAGAAATAAAATAATTTCAACGACACGTGCGCTCCTCATGGCGACCGGTTTCATACTGATAGTAGACTTGTTTACTAATATATATTATGCATGCGTACACGCACCTTTGACTTTTAGTTTGAGGAAACTGTAGCAAATGGTGCGATGCAATCGAAAATATTGTTTATTCTTGAGTGTATCGAATCGTCTTTTTTCGATAAAAATAATTATACAGATCTATTTTTAGTATCAGATTGTTTTTGTCTCCGTTATGAATAAGAAATTATACTATATTATTTTATTATCTTGCTATATTCAAATAATGAATACACACATAATAACCTCACGCCTGTCTCCACCTGGGGTAGGCAGACTATGGAACGCCAACTGCTACAATTCTTACATGAATCTTTAACTTCATCAACAGTCGTCTTTTCATGCATGCTCATCGGTAATCAATAATGAATCTTTTTTTAACCGAATTCCCAAAAAGGAGGAAATTATCAATTCGGCTGTATGTGTTTTTTTTTTGTGTGTATGTTACGCGATTACCCCGGCGTTTGTGGACGGATTTTGATGATTCTTTTTGCGTTGGAAAGGTCATATTCTCGGGGTGGTCCCATTTACACCAGGTCAGGGTCTTGTGATCGGATCCCATGGAAACTGAGGGAAACTTTTCAAAATTGTATGGGAGGCGAGAGCGTTTCTAATTTTTTTTTTATAGTATTTAAAACTGCTACATTTGATGAGGATGTGGAGTTGATCTGATAATGGAGTCAAGAGACAGTCGAGGGAACTCCTCGAGGATTTGTAGCAATGTTTGGGCTTAAATTATGTGTATTAAGAAGATCTTTACATCTAGATGGGATGTGATTATCAATAGGGGCCTGATGATGAAGTAGTTTGATAGCGAAGGGAACTCCTCAACGGTTAACATTAGCTACCTGGTGTTTGGGCTTTATTAATTTATAGTTATGAGAACTTTACATCTAAATGGGGTGTGATTGTGATTAGGGGGCTGATAATGAAGTAGTTGACTTCTTACCTACCACTGGGTGGGTAACCTATAAGTACGTATCACTAATAATACTTATATTTTGCTTTTTAGTTTTTAGGTTTTTGTTTTTGAAGTCGGTCTTTTTAATTACTTTCATACATAAATCTCACGACAAACTGTTATATTACTTAGTTGGTCATAATCGCTAAGCATTTAAAGTCATGCAAACTAAAGTCAGTGTCAGTGATTTCAGACCAATTGCGGTGCTGTGTGCACCAGCCAAAGTATTTGAGATGGCTGTTCACAATAGCCTTTATGCGCAGGTTGGGGCTCATTTGTCTGACGCTCAGCACGGCTTCCGTCCTGGATGCAGTACAACGGGAAACTTGTTGCACCTGATGACGCTGTTGGTACCAGCTGTTGACGCTGGGCTTCAGGTTGACGTAGCGTACCTTGACTTCAAAAAGGCGTTCGACACAGTCGACCACGACATACTCTTGTCGAAGCTGGCTGGTATGGGTTGCACATACCATACTGTAAAGTTCTTCGCCAGTTATCTTCGGGATAGGCGTCAGTATGTGGACTGTGGCGGACACTTTTCGGAGCCCTACTACACCAGATCGGGCGTCAGTCAGGGTAGTAATTTAGGACCCTTATTATTTATTATCATGGTAAATGATTTACCAACGGTGGTCAAATCAAGGTGTCTTCTATTTGCTGATGACCTTAAGTTGTCAGCAGTAGTTAAAGACACAGCTGATCGTGACATGCTGCAGCACGACTTGGACAAAGTCACTGAATGGAGTCACTGCAATAAACTATATTTCAATATTTCAAAGTGCTCGGTGCTTTCATTTGCCCGCACACTAAACCAACAACACCATCAGTACAGCATGAACGGGGAGCTGCTGCAGCGTGTCACGGAGGTAAAGGATTTAGGCATCCATTTCTCCAGCGACTTAAGGTTTCGTAAACATGTGGTATATGTTTGTAAGAAGGCGTACAGGAATCTGGGATTTGTGCTGCGTCAGGCAAGTGATTTCACGAATATCAGCGCATTAAGGGCTTTGTACGAGGCTCTTGTGAGGAGTCATCTGGAATACAATGCGACCATCTGGAGTCCGAGCGAAATAAAATATAAAACAATGCTCGAGCGGATACAAAATAAATACATCAGATTTATGTATCTAAAAATATATGGGATATATCCGGGATACCCGTTACTGTATCCCACCTTATTCTGTCTCGGTATGGTGGGGTACTACAAATTGGAAGTCAGGCGTGAAGTAGCATCGGCAACTTATCTTCTGAAGGTTTTAAGAGGTAACATACAAAACTCTGGTATGCTTTCGAGATAGGTTTTTGTATGCCGGACGACTATGTGGCGCGGCGGCGCCGCCCGCGGCTGCTGGTGGTGCCGCGGGCGCGCACCAACCTGCTGGAGCGCGCGCCGCTCACTCGTGCCTTGCGCACTCTTAACACGGTGGCTGATGTCGTAGACATATTTAACTGTACACTGAGCGAGTTCACAAGGACCACTTATTCTATAGTGTGTAAGGAAATATAGTTTATAGTTAAATATAGTTAATAGTTTAGGAAACGTATTTTAAGTTACTATGTCGAATTAGGTTAAGTTATCTGTAATGGCAAAGTAATTGTATTAAATTAAATAAATAAATAAATAAATAAATAAACGCGTATATATAAAATTTTAGCTAAATCAATTGAAAATGCGTCTGCATCAAATTTTTGTTGAAAGATCATACTACTCATACATTGTAAATTAAATAACGACTTGAAAAATATTTATATTCTAATTAAGTACCCAAGTGTATCAGTAGAACCATGAACTGGTTATCAATGCAGACATTTGGAAATACCCATATAATTACATAATTAACTTTACCCCTAGACAATGATAACACAGGTTTATCTTGCATATGAGTTTATTGTGTTCATGCTCTTTTATAATTAACTAGTTTCTGTCAGCGACTTCGGTCGCATTCCAAATGACCAACAATGCACCTAACTCATGTGTGGCGTTTGCCGTCTGTGCTATAAAAATGAATAAATTAAATAGTAAATTGATATTAAAATAGTAATAGCTAATACCCTCGACCAACACCTGAGTAGGCGAGCGTTAGATGGTTGGGTCAAGGGCCTGATGCAGAAAGCAGTACTTCTGGACACGGCGCGTATTGTCCGGAAATTCCTTTCTCTGTAGCCCTGATCGTCGGTAGCTTGGATTTCTCCCATTACTGGTGGGCTACTGCTTTATATATTTTTTTATAATCAAATATTTAAAAATATATAAGTCAATAAATTGTAATAGTATCTATTTATATGTGATAAGAACATGTTTTTGTATAACTACATAACCGTTTATAACTTGAATGACTTGGGAAAACCAAACAGCAGTTTTAGAATGAAGATCAGACATGTAGGTAGTAAGATTAAGAGTTGAAAAACCTGCAGGACGTTATTGTACAAGGAAAGTGTGTTTATAAAAATACACCTCATGACATTATACATCGCTTTTATCGGAGGATTGGTCTCAAGATGGCCCAAGTTCGTGTCTATGAGGTAAAGTGTTGTTGAATATTTTCCGGTAACACAAAAATTCTTAGGAATAGCACATATTTTAGAATTCTCCTTCATCTTAAATGTTAGTCATTTTGAAAAAATAATTATTGATCTGACTGCAATCTCTAATGCAATCTTTGGATTAAGATCGACTTTTGACATTAGTTGTACGGAGTACCTGTCACAAATCAAGGGCGATCCAAATATCCTACTAATGTTACATAACATAACATCACGCCCTCTATCCCCGAAGGAGTAGGCAGAGGTGCACATTACGGGACTTAACGCCACTGTACAATATAACACCCACTTTTCACTATCAATGTTAGAAGCCCCATTTAATAGTGAGTGAGCCTATTACCATATACCGGGCACAATTCCAAGCTCCGTGCTACTACTGAGATTTTTTTTAAATCCTCTAATACTTTGCCTGACCCGGGACCCCTTGTCCAGCAATCGCCAGCAACCTACTAACATTAAAAATGCGAAAGATTGTACATTTGTTTGTTTTGTTACTCCTTAGCGTCAAAATGGCTGAAGAGATCAAGATGGAAATTGGAACAGGAGTAGATAATGGTTTACAATCCTTACTAATATTATAAATCGGAAAGTGAGTTTGTTTGTTTGTTTGTTTGTTCCACTTTCACGCCGTAACTACTAAACCGATTGCTTTGATTTTTTGCAGATGTGAAGTTAAAAGTCTGGATTAAATAATAGGGTACTTTTTATCCCGAAAAAAAGTATATTCTCGAGGGAAAACGAAATTATTCGTATAGATGGCGCTGTGTGTATTGGTATATGTCACATAGGCTACTTTTTATCCTTTTGTGACGCGAGCGAAGCCGCGAGTAGAAGCTAGTAACACATAAACCTTCATTATTATTTATCCCACTACGACACAAACGGAGCTGGCTGGCAGAAGCTTTTTTTAAAGAGGGAAAATCGTCGAATGACTGCTCCCGCCTGGGTGAGGCGGGAGGGAGTGTCATATTCTTACTGACTAAAAACCACCCCGTTCCTACTCCTGCACTTCGAGCCCGAGCACCGGTAACCCGTTAGGTTTTCCGCGACAAGGCTGACAAAAGTTAGCATTGGAGTAGGATTAGTTACTAATTTTGGCCACTATGCTACTTAATATAAAAGACAAAGCCAAAAGGATTAGTAAACTGTCACATTTGTCGAAGAACCGATAACCGTTGGGGTAAACGTATTCTAGAGTGGAGACCGCGTCTAGGCAAACGTAGTGTAGGGCACCCTTCAGCTAAGTGGAGTGACGATATCCGCAAGGTGGCTGGCAGTGGTTGGATGAGAAGAGCTGAAGACCGAGTTCCAGCAGTGGAAGAACACAGGCTGATGATGATGATGAATATAACCGATTACAAAAGAAAATACATTTTATTTGTTAATATTTTTTTATTTACGAATGAAAATGGCATCACATAAATTACTTATGTACATTTTAAACTAATTAAAGCAGAACAAAAATGTTCTTTAAAAACATTAACTTAAGTGCGATTTTGCCGCGTTACGTTAATTACAATGCAAATAAAGCTCAAATACCATATAACGCATGTTATAGAATTTCAAAACTTATTATAGCGTATTAAAAGAAATAATATTATCATACAAAAATCGACCTTATTCGATTATTTAAACCAAATGTAAAAAAACTTTGCTTTGATGGATTATGTCCTAGCCACTAGTAACCTAGGGCCTGTGCGAGTCACTGTTCTAACATAAACTGACAATTCGGTTTAATGGCAATGCCTTTCACTCTTCAAAAAAATTCAGTCAATAAATCAAACGGCTAAATATACAGACTAATTAAATCATATGGCTGCAACAGATATAATATACAAATAATACTACCCCCTGATCATAGTTCCAAGTACAATAATTATAACGTCTATAAAATTGCCTTTTACTGGTCAAAGTGAAATAATTAGATTTTTACTCTGACTTTGACAACCACGTATGCATCTTAGCTACAAAACGCAAGTGAGCATTGGAAGCAAGGAATGTATTGTGAGAATGCATTCCTTTGCCGCCTCATTGGTTGACGGCGGCAATGCTTTGTCGACTCGGCATTGCCAAGCCAATTCCCACTTCCAAACAAATATTTGTATGAACCACAGCTATTTGTTTTCCATTCGATTTCCACAGTCAACGTATGGATATGAAAGTCTTTGAGTCTGTAGGTTCACCTTCGTTTATTTGTAGTAGCAGTTTCGTATAGGGCAGTAGTGAATTAAATTTTCAGCTGAGTTCGGGCTGTGTTTTGGAATAAACTTGACATAATTCTTAACATTGTGAGTGTATGAATTTAGCAGATTAGAAATTGATTCACAATCGTATTCACTCGAAGATAAAATTTATTTTTCAATAACTGTAGTATGATCATAATATTTCTTTTACCCCTATTGTAACTACAAAATAACAATAATACGCTTCTACGATATTGCAAGGAGACTCTTGCGACATTAACAACTTTGTGACGCGACTTTTATCATTCCTTTTACCTACTAAGGCTTATAGTCCAAGACAGGATGCGTCATTGCCGCCTATTTTCATTTATAGATTGCATGCATCCGTGCAATATATAAATGAAAATAGGCGGCCTATAAATGCTTGCTTAGAAACAATGAAAACTGTCGACGAAGCGACAGCGACAAATCCGCCTATCACTTTTGACGACTGTATGTATTCGTGAAAACGTCGTGGACAAAGATACAAAAATGGTTCAACATTTTTGTTTTGTAGCTCTCGTAATAAAAAGTCGCGTTACGTTGTTGCCATATTGTTACGCTACATAATTAACATATAAATAAGATACGTATGATTTTGGAGTGATAATAAAAGGTTAATACAATTTTTTCAGTATCAACATTAGATATCAGTTACAAAACAGACAACCTTCAATAATAGTCTTCCAAAAAGACCGACCGAAATGCACAATTACAATATAAGTTTTCACCACTTTTAAAAATTATATTATGCTGTAGGGCCTAAGACTTGGGCTATTATACATTGGGCACCAAACTGTTACCGAAAATTCTTTTAAATAATATTTAAAAAAGTAGTATTAGTTATAATTATCCTAAACTGTGTAATATCTTCCATTTCAATCCCTTTATTTCTATTTATAGCATCGATTTAATATCAAATCCAACAACAATATCACCAAAAACAACGTCTTTATTAGAATCGAAGTTACATACGACTTAGCATTGACTAAAAGTACCTTAATTAATAACAAATGTCAGAGCCTCGAGTTAATATATTAGTTCTAAACTAAATCATTTTCGAGAAATACGTCTTCACAGAAGACATATTTTATTTTAGTAATTTATTAGAAGCTCCCTAAAGTTTAGTTAATAAGCTACAACTTCTTGAAAAGGTAAATGAGAACATTATGTGTGTATATGATTTCACTTCTAAACATTGTATATTGAAGTATGAAATTCTGAATTTATAATTAATTTTACATATGTATTAACTAGGCTATAAGTAAAAGTTCAAGCAAAGTCATTTAGGCAAAACAGGTTTTAAATGAATTTCTACTTTATTGGTCCAAGATGTCTTCCTTGTGGAACTCCACATTCTTCTAAATCATTTAGAAGACTTGTAAAATTTTTGTTTGTGTAATGTATATTATTCTTAACGCTGGATAAACTATTAAATAAAATGAAAGTAAAAAAAAAATACAAAAATTAATTTAGGATAAAATCGATAACTCGATATTTACCTGAGACAGATTAAATATCTGACGACTATTATAGTTTATTTCTGACTTTAATAAATGGAGAATCATACTTCTCCATTTTTTGTACATAAAATTAACCCACGATTAATTTAAAACCTTTACGAAACAAAAAAAACCTAACATGCACACTCCAAAACTTTATACTTCATACAGTAAACAATAGACTTGAAACATATTAGATTTGTCAAAGGCGTTTGACAAACTCTAACACAAATACACAATGCAACTCCGTTACCTTTTCCCAGAAATCGAGCTCCAAAATCAGTCAATTTAAAGACTTATGAAAATCATTGATTAGTAATATACAATAAAATTAAACATTTAATTTTAACTTTACATAACTCCTTTACTAACTAATTAAGTAGAATTAATTATATTTTATCTCTTACACTGATATTTACGCTGCTATCACAAGCGAGAGGTGATTTAAAACATTACTTAGATTCTGTTATTACTGTTACACAGTACTATTTATATGCTTATCAACTAAAATAACTTTGTTCCCGTCTTATATTGTACTTTGATCTCTCAGATTATTATTTACATGTGTGCTATCTTGCGTAGATAATGCGAAGTGTGTGGAGATGTTTTAAATGCATTTGTTGCAGTGAATCTAAGAACCTATGTAAGATAATTTTACTGAATTCTATCGTCGAATGTTGTAAGGTACTCCTTTCTCGAATCTGTACAAGATCTGTTTTACATGCTTGCAAGTTTTTTATATTGATGAACTTTTTCTAATGGATGCTATAAAATTCTATATATAAAACTGTTAAGATGACTGTTAACTAACCAAAACACAATTAAAATTATAACTTAAGCGTATTTGTTAAATAATATAATATAGAGTCCAAACTAGCGTGCCATTTGGATACATCAATTTGAAAAAATAATAAACAAACAATAATTAAAATAACATTTCCAAAACACCTAAAAACTTTTCAAAGTTTAATTTAAAATTTTAATACTTTCAATAATAATCCAAAATAAAATATATTATAGAAAATTTTCACGACTAGTAAAATATACTTCCACGAGTCCCATTACACTTTTGACGTTGCTGTTAGCATCACATAGCTGGCTCTTGGATTCTCTTCCTGCACTGGTTCTTGCCTAAAGCACCTGTGGGGCTCAAATTCCGTTGGTTTCTTTAGCATCTTCCTAACAAACCAGACTAACCCAATTACTATCACCATCAGACCAAGAGCCACACCGATCAGCGCTGTGTTCAAGCTCTTGAAACCTGCTTTCATTTCCAAAGTTCCAAGCGTTTCTATTAGTTGTGGGACCACACATATTGTTCTTCTTTCGTCAACCTTGTACTTTGAAATGGCTGCACAGACTTCATAAGGTCCTCGGATAAAACCTTCCATGGATATTTCCAGAGTAGATTGGCATGGAGTATCTTTCTGGGCTACTAATGAGCCTCTTGATAAAACGGCTAAGACAATGTAGCAGTTGTTGATTGGTCGAATGTCGTTGGACAGTCTTTGGGAGCGAGGTAAGACATATTGTGGCCTTTGTGGAAGACCTAAGACTGATATAAGAACTGTTAGGACTCCTTCGTTCGTTACGTTTGATCGGACTTCGGAGACTCTGAAATAGGATACTGAGATAAATAAAGCAGTTTCATTTATAATTATTTACTCTAACTGCTTATTCTAAAGGCTAGCTCTATATAAGAAAACATACCAATTTAGTACAGGGCTTTTAAGGGGCAAAAATCTTCTACTCCTAAACTCAATTATATGTTCGGTATCTTACCTTAAAGGATTACTCTCAGGAGGTCGAGTGACGACTATAGGGACAACTGTAGCAAACGTGGCTCGCTGTCTCACTTGCATTGGGGCACCGCAGCCCAATACCAAGGAAAGAGGCACATCAGAACTGTCCATTTCTTCTAATGCTATGCAGAACCTGAAATAAAATAAAAACATTTTTATTTTGTTTTCGTTCACGTTTATAAATGCCGACAGCCATGTTTGGGTATTGATTTCATATGATGATTTAGAAACCACTAGCACACATATCACATCCAGACTTAAAACACAAATTTGTTGATTACGTAAAGTTCTGTGTGATAAACGAACCCGTAACAAAGCCGGTCAACACCGAACTATTACTTCAATGCACAGAAGAATACATACGCCTGCCAATATAGCAGTAGCATTTGACTCAGTATTATGTTATTATATTTCCATCAGGCGTCTACAATGTTACGACCGATATAATGTACGGCCTGCACTGGGTAGCATTCGATATTAGATCCACGTACACTAACAAGTCTTCTATGCTCACTGAGAGGAATCTCAACCGATTTACTTTAAAGTGGTTTTCTATTGAGTTCGTGAACGTGTTTTATTATATTTTATACTTTGAAGTTATATTTTGCTGGCTATGTTTAACCTTTATTGTAATGAAACTTATGAAATTACTAGCGAAAAGTTTACAGTCTAAACCTCTTCTGGTGTCTTAATAATACGTCTTTGTATGTTGCAACCCTGTTGTAACCAACAATACAACACTACCAACATAATAAAATAGTTATTTTTTGTAGATCGGTTAAGGTGTCATTAGGTTTTCAAAAATAACTGTTTTCTAGACTTAATAAATAATAATAACTTAATTGACACTAATTTAAACCTTTGCTAAAACAATATTTATATTTACGTTACTGATTATAGATTTTATACTTGATACAATATATGAATGTCGTGTCGTGGTGGCCCGGAGGTTCAGACGCCCGCTTCTAACACATGAGGGTGCAGGTTCATAATCTACCAACGGCAAGTACCAAATTGACTTTTTCTGAGTTATATGTACTTTCTAAGATTATTGAGATACCACTGACAAACGGTGAAGGAAAACATCGTGAGAAAACCTGGGTTTATAATTTCTAATTATAAGTTTAAAATCGTCCACCCACATTGAGCAAGCGTGGTGATTAATGCTCAAACCTTCGTGTGAGAAAAGGCTTTGCTTAACAGTGGGCACTTATAGACTGTTTATGTATGTAATGTACAATATGATATGATATGTCTATTTTAGAAAAAGGCATTTATATGTATGAAAGCCTGCCTCTTGAACTAGGGGAAACCTGGAAAACTTGAACGGAATATTTGACAATAACTCTTATTTTTTTAATATTTGATAGGTCGTCGTTTGACCACTATCTCATAATCCTTTAGAACCGAAAACCACAACTTCAATCCACTTTCTATTATAAGAACTTATCAAAAAACTTACGTGTAATGATCAACTGCATCAATCTTCAATCCTCGCAGCACCACATTGGATGGAGTAGCTCTATGACAGGCTACATGCTTCGGTAGACCACCAGCTCTTGAAGCTGTTACGCCAGTACACCTGTAACGGTTAGCTGATAGGGGATCCACAACCCAGGATAAATGGACTTCTTCATCGTCGTACCATGCGTCTATTAAGTGTACCTGGTAACAAAATAAATAAATAACATGAACGGTGAAAAAGAATTATAACAAAATATTTTTTGGTCAAGATGTATCAATTCTATGTTATTATGAATCCCATGACTTAGGCAGCGTTGATAAAACTCAATCCAGGACTTAACCTAGAAAATTAAACCTTAAATCTATTTATTCATAGACGTATTTCACTTAACTTAATCAAATAATCAGATAGCAAAATGAATCCTAAAAGAACACATAAAAAAACTAAATTAACTAATTTATGCAAACTAATGAATATGAGGCTACTTCCTACCACTGGTAGGTACTATTATTAGATACAAATACTATGACTAATTCTCAACGACAAGCAATGAATCCTACGCAAGTATTTTGGATAGCTATAAAATTAATTTTACCAAGACAGTGTTGACAACATACCATGGTCTAGTAGCATCAACATTAAGATATGGAATAATTTTCTGGGGGAATGCAACCGGTAAAGAAATGGTCTTCAAGTGTCAAAAAAGATGCATTAGGGCTATTTGTAATCTGCAGTCTACCGACAGCTGCTACACTTTCTTTAAAGACCTCAAAATTTTGACGGTCCCCTCATTATACATCTATGAGACTGGTATGTTCGTTAAAAACAATTTTAATAATTTTGACCGAGTAACCAGTCAACGTCGTTGTGACCAGTTACACTTATTAAAATCTAGAACTGCACTATACAGGAACAGTATCTTTGCAATGGCTCCAAAAATTTATAATAAACTGCCTAAATATATAAGAAATGAAAATAATATTATACTTTTTAAACGTAAATTGACATTATTTTTAATTGACAAGACATATTATTCTATTGACTTATTTCTAAATGATAAATTTTGACATACCATCATGATTCTTATATACTTGTTTAATTTAAATATATTAATAATGCTTGGTACCTGCCTAACTTAATAACTATTTGTACACCAATTTTATTGGTAGAACATAGAGATGCTATTAATGTATGTTAAACACCCTTCTGTATAACCTGTGTTCACAAATAAATTGATTTGATTTGATTTGATTTGAAGATCGAAAAGTAAATTTTATTTAATAGTAATAATATTTATGAACAAAGTGAGCATCAGCTGAACAGAAATATGCAATGTATTATATCAAAAGTTCACGTATTTTTTTAAAGGGGGGGGGGGGAATCATCCAATCACTTCTCCCGCCTGACTGAGGTGGGAGTGTGTCGAGTGTCAGACTCTTACTGACTTAAAACCACCCCGTTCCTTCTCCTGCACTTCGAGCCGGAGCCCCGGGAACCCGTTAGGTTCTCTGCGGCGCTTCTTTGTTGAGAGTTGAAGCCGGCGTGCGCTTACACAATACTCGCCGACCCCTAAGCGCACGCGATCTTTTTATGGAAACACGAACGCACTAGGGCGAGCAAAGTTCACGTATTGGATAACAGATCTAAGGTATCATCACCATTCAATAATGTGGATAGACTGATACGAGAAAAGCCACGAGCAAAGTTAACATCATAAAAACACCTACGAATATCAGTAGATTACTGAGTCATCAAGATAAATGTGTGAAAAATTCAATAAAACCAGTTCGAAAACGGATATTAAACCTAATCTTAAAACACATTAAGTTCAATTTTAGATGTTCCCACAATCTGATAACTTGAATATGGTTAGATTGTGTAGCAAAGATTATTTTTTTGTTGTGACTCATTCATAATCGGAATTTAAAAAAGTTTTATATCCTATGTTGCTATGGTAAGCATTCACTACTCTAATACGATTGTCTCAAGGTTAATTTTCATGTCAAGCATTGCCTTCTATTAAACTAAAAAGTTCCCTCATTACTATAATCATTGTTAAACAGAATCTTGTAAATATCTTACCTTAGCATCAGAAATCGGCAAATCCTCTTCAGCAGGCACTTCCAGTTCTTCATCATACAAATCATCATCTAAACCTTCTTGCTTATCGCCATAAACATCAACATTATCATCAACAGCAACTTTATAATCATCCACGATAGAATTCGCTAGTACTTCGTCACGAGGTACTTTATTTAAATCATAATTCCCGTCTTTCTGTTTGTCTGCATGTTCGTCGTCACATAGCTTGTTTTTCGACAATCTAGATAGCAAAGCACCTTCTAAATGCGGTGGAGTAGCACACACGGCAGCAGATTTATCTGTTTGGGGCAGGTTTTTTGCCTCCCTCAACCACCTTGCGAATCCGGCCATTAGGCAATCGCAATTAAGGGGATTATCTGCAAAAGAGAACAGAATTTATCTTTACGACCCGAATAAATGTGGGTGAAGTTTACTGAGGAAGTTTAAAGTATGAGTAATTGCTTATTTGATTCCATGCAATTTAACTTTTTGTTACTTTTGATAGGGAAACTGAATTTTGCTTCCCTTGTTTAATGCTGTTTCGAGTTGGAGAGTTAAAATTATTTTGCATTTTACTTTTATTTTATCATATTCTTTTTTTCTTTTACGTTCTTATTATCATGATCTCCTGAAATGTTAATGCAGTTTAATACATTACTCTTTAAATCTCAATTCTCAAATTACCAACTAGCCTTTATCAACCTCTTTCTATTTAACCCCAAATCAAACTTAAAATAGTCTTTAACGTCCACAACATAAGTCAGCTAATTGAATAATCTGCCAAAAAACACCATAATAACAGCAACAACATCATTCCAATACATTAAACAATGTTTCTATTTTCCTTTTATGACTGCGTAAAAAATTGTGCTAGAAAAATGTATTTACGTCAACAAAAGTGTCAGTGGCCAGGATTATTCCTTTGAAAAAAAAATCATAAAGAGTGGGAACTACAAAGGCAGAATAGTTAAGAGTCATGCAACAATATAACACGAGGTTATCGACGGTCGAACAAAGACGGCTCGACGTCACCACAGTGAGACGTTGGGCATCGACAAATATCTGTTCGAGACATAGGAATACAGGAGTTTGGCTAGCAATTGAAATAATTTTCTTTATGACTTTGTTGCAAAATATTTTTGTTGCTTTTAACCTATTTACCGTAGGCCAGTTTCTAACTAATCAAATTCAATACTTGTGCTGAAATGTCATGAAGGATAATTTTATACGAATTTCCCTACAAGTAGTGACTTATGAATGACATCGTTGTAATATTTGATCACATATATATGACACTTATTTCCCTTTAATTAACTAGAAAACAATCTATAATTACGCCTTTAATTAGATCGATAGAAGTGTTAAAATTATTTTATGTATTAAGAAGTTAATAATGTTTTTCGGCTAACTCACGTAATTATTTGACGAGGAACTCGACTCGACAATCGCGGAATGCTGCTTATGAATTTTAGCCTCTTGCATGGCTTGAAACTAGTCAAGTTCCTTGTCAAATAATTAAGTAATAGGTGAGTAATAATTAATTAAGTATACTAAGTGAGATATACTCACGAAAGTTATAACCGAAATATTGAGAAATTGAATTTATTATTATGAAAACGTCCCAATTAGTTAACAGTTCTGATTTAGCTCACTTTTAATCCAATATAACTTCAAAAACTACAAAGACAAAAGTACAACATGATAAATCCGCCATCTTTTGAACCAGTATGTATCCCCAAAGTGCGTATCATCGTTTCCCCATTACCTTCAATGGTGAACCGGCCGAGATCCTTGTGCAGCGCCAAAGCTTCGTCATCTATCATCGAGATATCGTTATCATGGAGTAGTAACTCGGTCAGTCGTCGAAGAGACTTTAGAGGCTCGGCAGAGAGGGATCGGAGGAAGTTGTGAGACAGGTCCAGGTGTACTAAGTTCGTTAGCTGTGCTAGAGATGCTCCTGTGAATGTGAATGGAATTGGTTAAGAAAAATAATAATGAAATATGAAATAAACTGCACTGTGCTGGTGCTGTGGCTGGGCAACCGGCTGCCGTGCAACGTGTCGCGGGTTCGATTCCCGAACGTAACAACACTTTGTGTGATCCACAGATTGTTTTTTCGGGTCTGGGTGTGATGTGTATGTGAACTAGTATGTTTGTAAACGCACCCACGACACAGGAGAAAACCCTAGTATGGGGAAAAGTTAAAAAAAAAAATTAAATAGGCAAAATATACACGATGAAAATCTCGTAAAATTAGATGCTTGTACCTTCTAAATTAGTTTTGTATCGCGGGCAGAAGATACTGTTTTGTATTATTATAGTGCGCAGCAAAAATGTTGAATGATATATAAAACGTACATTTAATGTTTGATAATCAACTAAAACTACTGATTTTCGACACAGGGTTAAGTCCTTTTTACATTTTAAACCATTTTTGCCCCATTTTAAACGTTTTTTTTTTCCTTTTTTGTTCTATTTTAAACAAATTCCCTTAATAGATAGTAAAAAAATACTTCATGTTCAGTTATGTAATTTTATAAAGGTTATTTAATTTTCTTTATTAACACAACTTTTTCATTGTTAGAAATACCCTTTCATTATTACAAAATTAAGGATAAAAGAAATATTTTTCTAAACAATACATCGCACAAAACCAACTGTCTCTCTTTTGTAAAATGAAAAATAAACATCCATAGCTGTAGGGCTACGGAGTCTAAAAAGAGAAAGATATTTGTGATAGGCATAAACATTATTAACTCCGGTTTAGAAACATTAACTTAAATGTTTGTATAGTGTAAAAGTTGCATTTGTATCAGTTTGGAGTTGTTATGCTCACTCAAAGATCTCATTGGCGGTGGCACGTGCATTGGATCGCTCGATTCCCTACAAAATGGTTGAGTTGGGCGGTGCTGGGGTACGTGTCATATTCGTGAACGGGCACCGTCAATTGAGACTGGTCAGCTCCAGACTGTATGATTTTATTGTCCTCAAGGTTATTTTCTTTTTCAGTCCCTTTGACTGGATTTAGGTGTTGCATTGTTCTCAGACAATCGAACCAACAAAACTATGTAACTAGAGAGTTGTATTGTAAACCCGATTGAAAAAGAGTAACCTATGGAGTTTCGTGCTCGTTCTTCTCCATAGGAACCTCGACCTTGAAATGAGCAACTAGCTTCACTTCTAAATTTTTGTTGTTGACGTTCAAAAGTGCCTTCCTGGTCTAATTGAAATAAATTATTTTGACCTAAATCACACAATTACCCTGAAACAATATCTTTTTGCAACTTCCAAAATTCATAAGATCGATCTTAAAAAAATAAAACAAAAATAGTTTGATTCCATATTTGACTCGTTTAAAAGAATTCTTTCAAGAAGTAAGTAAATGTTTAAAAAAATACATTTTCCTCGTTATTTCCTTTCGGCCCGAGGCAATACGGACTTTTTTGCCGGAAATTAAAACGTCACGAAATCGACTAAAAGCTTTTTAAGACGTTATCTGTTTTAAATAAACTAATGAAGAGGTAAGTTGATAGTCTTAATAACTCGGTTCGTGTTTATTCTAATGATTTTTTGGGTTTTTGATTGTTTTTTTTTTTTGTTTTTGTATAAATGTTTTTTTACTCAAACCTTAGTAGTAAATGGTTGATTGAATGATTATGATTGCGGCTGTTTAGATTGAAATAACTTAAGTATTTTTGTCCCCTAAAAATGCTTAAAATCAAGTATTTGTAGGATTCAATTATTCCTAGAAATGTAAAATTAGTCTTGAGACTTCGTTCCGGACACTACCCATCGGCTAAGTTTGCATTCCTTATGAAGAAGAACAATTCTCCAAATTTCACAGTTTGCAATAAAGTTGAGGATATGCAACATTTTCTGATGGATTGTGTTCGGAATGAGCGGGAACGTGAGTTACTCATTAGAGAATTAAAACTTAATAAACTGGATGTAGGCTTAATACAGTCAATTCTGTCTTCACCATGTTCAGAAACTACAAAAAAATTTTGTAATTTAGTCAAAATAGGTACTTGATGAGTAACTCAATTTCCTTTCTTTTTATTGTAAGCAAAAATTTTGTATGTATTTGATAGGTCACATTTTGTTAAAAGGTATGATGGGGTTGGCATATCAAAGATAAAAACCCCTTAAATAAAAAACAGATAAAAAAAAAAAATATCAAGCATTGCAAGATCACCTTAAATATTATTTTGACAAGCTATTAGTCAATATGTTTTTAGAAGTAAATCTACATTCATACACCTTCCATATTTGCAAACTCACTATCCAAAACGACACCAACAAAGAAAACCAAACCATATCACCAAATAAATTAAGCACATAATACCAAAACTTACCAGATACAGCTACGATCTCGTTGTGCGACAAATCCAGGTGCGTCAAGTTGGCAATGTGTTTGAACGCATAGTCCTCGAGTACATCTATCTGGTTGTTGTGCAACTTCAAATGAGTTAAGTTCGTAAGACCTGGGAACATGGGCGGTGAATTAAAGGATATTCGGTAACTAAGGGTGGTGTAGTGTGGTGTACTTGAATTTTGTTTGGGGAGTCCATGATGTAAAGAGGTTGTTTCATTTATTTTTTGTAAGTGTTAACTGGAGACTAAATTTTCTTATTTTATTAAGAAAAAACAACTGTAATTTTTACATAATTACAGATTAAGATACAAAAATTGTTTCCACACCATCCAAGACGTCTTCATATTGGACTGGACAGAGTTCGTATTTTTTATTTTTTTTTATAAAATGAAGTCTAAAATCACGGTTATAACATGGAGTCTGAAATTTTACGTAGTGATATTAAGGGTCACCCTTATTACATGGGACTTGTAACACAATAGGGTAGATGACTAATTTTTATTTTGATGTCCATACTAACGAGTTAAAACTAGTTTAATTCAATATCGTCAACTTGCGTACGTACTATACACATCTATGCATCTATCCCGCTCTAAAATACGAGCAAAATACGAATAAAGTAGAAGATAAACAATACACAGCGATCCCATACAGCATGCATTTAAATTGAATTTAAATCAGTGAAGTATTCGTACGTCTCGTTTATGAGATTGTAAGTTGAGATCTCGAACTTATTTCATGCATATGCATGCAATGTTCTACGAGAATGCTGTTAAATATTCAAGCTTTTGATGAGTACAATTTTACTGAGTGAAAGGAATTATTTTTCACCCGTTTTTCTGTTGAAGAGTCAGACAGAGGTGACACGTCATCTATTGTTAGTAAGGGTAAACTAAAAACCTAAAACCTTGGAATTCCCAATAAAATAAATTGAAGGACATTATTATTTTATCTTCTCATCATTATTTTATCACCGAACGAATATTTTCCCCATCTTTTTTTTACACACATAACATCACGTCTTTTATCCCAGAAGGGGTAGGCAGAGGTGTACATTATGCCACTGTACAATGTAACACCCACTTTTCACTATTTATGTTATGAGTCCCATGTAATAGGGGGTAAGCCTATTGCCATATCTCACTTTTCACCAGTTCTATAACTGGCCTATTCTATAAATAAATATCTATATATTAATTTATAAGAACCATTTTAACAAAGCCACAATTCCAGAGAAGTTTTTGAAAAACCTAAAAAGCCGCTATGATACTTTGTTCGACCCGGGAATTCAAAACGACACCCCTCACTCACCAAATCGGATTTGTGACGACCAAGAGACAGAGCTTGTTAAAATTCAAATTTATTTATTTAATCACCAATATTCCGGTAATCCTAACCTATGTAACTCACCAGACAGAGCCCCTCGTCGTATGCTTGCAAAAGTGTTATCCGACAACTGGAGCGTATTGAGGCAGGTCAGTGTGGGCACTGTGGATGGACCCAGAGGTCCTTCCAGGGCATTACTGGATAAATCTAGATCCCTCAGCATGTTAGCCTCCTGGAAATGAAAGGATAATTAGTAAAGATATCAATGTGTATCATACTGTTGAAATGCGGACTTCTTAAAAATATATTTAACTAGCGGACCCGATAGACGTTGTCCTGCATATTATGATATTTCAAGCGATAAGGGTATTAAAAAAAGTATGAAAGGAAAGACCAATAAAATAATAATTATTATTGTTAGTTTAGGATAAATAACCTAGACACTGACTGCAGAGCCACCTGCCGGGGTGAATCTAAACCATCTAGGGCGACACCCAAACGCATACAGAAAAATTCATTTATATCGGTTATGCCGTTTAGCAGGAGTTCAATGACATACATACATACAGCAGAATTGTATATGTAAAGATAGATTTCTTATCAAAAAGTATTAAAGATGTTTTATTTGAATTGTCATCACCAGATAGGACACATTATAACTACACATTATAATCTACATGTTAATATCAAGATTTGAATATTAGGTCCAAATCTGTGGATTGAAAACTAATTCTAAGACTCGTGCTAAGCAACATGATGATATTTTTTTTTTTCAACTAGCAGACTAAAGCCTAGGCTAGCAAAGATATGTCGATGTTTCGCAACCCTAAAATACGATGATTGTAGGTATAAATTTACCTTTCAATACTTTTATTCGTATCTTATTGAATGAGCCTAATTTAATCCTTATTTCGTTGTAATAAGGACTTGTATAAGAAAATTACACTTGATTGATAATAATAATCAGATATTCGTTAGGGGTATTACGAAATTAATGCTCTTAAAGTAAAACGGTCCGTGCTAGACCCAAGGTGGGCGCCAATAACATTCGTCTCAAGAGCAATGTATAAAAATTGAATTCAGAATTATTCAATTTCATTTTATCAATTTAATTTACATCTAATCAATTACATAACTATTTTTCTTAATGATTATGTTTTCAGCTTACTCACGCACCTAACTGTCTAACGAGGAACTTGATTAGTCTAGCGTCGCGGTTCGCGGAATGCTGTTCATGAATATGAGCCTCAAGCATAGCTTGAAACTAGTCGAGTTCATCGTTAAAAAGTTACGTAAGTAAGGCGAAAACATAATAATTAATTAGTATATCTCACGGAAGCTATTTTTCTTATTCAAATTGTTATTAATAATAACACCAACAAGGTATTAATTACCGGCTTCAAAAAAGGAGGAGGTACTATGTTCGGCAGATAGTTTTTTTTTTAGTTCACCGATTACTCCGCTATTTCTGTACCGATTTCCAAAATTCTTGTTTTGTTTGCTCATATTATAATGATATTACTTAATGGTCACAAAATTGTAAATTAGATATCTATTAAGGTTTTAATGAATAATTTTGTATGGAACCTATGGCGCCAACTTCTTACCTATCAGTGGGTGGGTAACCTATCAGTACAAATAACAGATTTTTTGCTTTTTAGTTTTGACTTTGTATGTTATTAGTTTTTGGTTTTTTTGAAGTCGGTTTTTTAAACGCAGTTTTTTTGCCTTTTGAGGTACATACTTTTTAACTCGCAATGTTGACGATTCTAGAAACTAATTGTACTGTGCATAGCTAGCGAAACATGCTGTTGTAAAATATGCATGTTAAAGTATTTAACACATCTATAATTACCTTCAATGTGACCAGGGTCGGAACTTTGAGTAAATTCCCTCTCAGCCTCAATACACTCAATTTTACCAGTGGTACGAATGCTCCTTCCAGAATGTCAGTCAACTGGTTGTCACTAAGATCCAAATATGTCAAATTCTTGACTCCCTGTAAAAAAATATATTTGGCATTGTTATTACCGTATTAAGCATTTTTTAAATGACAATTTATAAGTTTGTTCTTTAATAGTTTTTATATTTTTTTTTATTATTTTGTACGCCAATAGGGATGATGACAGGGTATGAACATTAAAAATATAATTAGTCCGTCAGTTAGGTAATGAAAAAATATTAGACACGTATTTTTTTTATTTTGTCGTATAATAAAACAATACTTAGATAAAACAAATCAAAGTTTAGGAGTGGGGGCTAAAACGTCATTTTTACGTATAAAATTTACATAGAAGTGACGTCACGCGACATTTCAAATCGATGTATCGTCGAAAGTATTCGTTTCTGTAAGAAAATAAAAAATACGTGTCTAATGATTTAAAATAATCTACCAGACGGACATTAAAATAAAAATTAGGCATCTATCCTATTGTGACAAAACATATTAAGATGTTACCGTTTTTACTTTACCACCTGCATTTTCATTTGTATGTATAATGTTACCTAAAGTATTTGTATGCCTAAAATAGGCTGATCATAGCGCATTTTAATCTAAAAATGACCAACCAAATGTACCTATGTATCTCAAATAAAGGTTTTATTTCATTTCACTAAAATGAGTATTAAAAACACTAGATACCAATATTTACCAAATAAAAATATACTATAGTCAGGATCTTTATTGGCAAAAAAAAAATTATACCACCTTCTTGAGTGGAGTTTATATGTATATAGCCCACTGTTATCTAAACGATGTTGTTTTGTTTTCGACAACCACGTAAACGCGGGCACAGCTAGTGAGTATTAAAAACATGATCCTTAGATACATATATGTACATTAAACCAATTGAACGAGTAATTTTTAAAAGACAACATGAATAACTCAAGAATTATCTTCTCATAATGAATTTCTTAGCTAACAATCATTTATTTTCTTTATTATGTTAAGCCTCGAATAAAGATTCGTAATTTCTATAAGCTGTGTCAATATTAGTTTAAATTAATCATGTACATTTGAAAATGGATCTTACCTTAAATGAATTAGCGTCTAATGTATGAATTTTATTATTTGACAAATCTAAGCGATCGAGGTTCCATAGTCTGGTCAATGCTTCAGTTGGCACCACTGATAACTGGTTATTGGGAAGACCTGTAACAAAATATAATTATAAATCTTTATATATAATTCTTCTGTGAGTATGTATATATGTATGAGTCACTGAACTTCTCTCAAACGACTGGATCGTTTTTAATGCAATTTTTTGTGTTGTTCAAGGGAATCTGGGACTGGTTTAGATTCACAAATCAGCCCGGCAGATGGTGCTGCAGTCGGTTTCTAGGTTATCTATCTGTACCTATTATTACAGGACAACGTCGGTCGGGTCTGCTAGTATCTATATATAACTCAGTTACACTCAATTAACTAAAAATCGCGAGTTACTCACGTGAAAATACTGAGAAAACCTCAACTAGTTTCCAGCCACCGAGGGGCTCTTCCTCTTGAGCAGCGTGCGCAGTCGCGGCAATGTCGCGCAGCATCATTATATTCTTATTTTTTCACATTTAATGGGACTGACATTTGACCACTATGTGGTAATTGGCATTCACGTGAGTAACCCGCGATTTTTGGTTAATTTATGTCGGAATACTGAAACGCTACTCAATTTTAAGTCGCGCTTAGGTATAGTTCTGTCTGCACTAATTCTTTGTAAAACGACAGAGATGGCACGATATTTAAGCACGACTTAAAATTGAGTAACGTTTCAGTATTCCGGCATTAGTATGCCTGACGATAGTTATTATAAAAACACAGCTATACTCAATCGATGATCGAGTTACAGTTAGTGAGAATGTGATTGTACTTTTCTTGATAGGCTCATGGATTTTATAATACAGATAATGCCGGCATACAACATAAAAACTAATTATAGATACAGTTACCAAGTGTTAAAAGCGTATAAAGGCCACGGTAACCGCTTGCCACCATCGTGGTATAAAAAAACATTAGAAAACATGTCATCATCATCAACAGCCTATAAATGCCCACTGAGCAAAGCCTCTTCTCACACAGAGAAGGTTTTGAGCATTAATCACCACGCTTACTCAATGCGGGTTGGCGATTTCAAACTTATAATTAGAAATTATAAGCCTACGTTTCCTCACGATGTTTTCCTTCACCGTTTGTCAGTGGTGTCTAAATAATCTTAGAAAGTACATATGACTCGGAAAAAGTCACATTGGTATTTGCCGTTGGTAGGTTTCGAACCATCACCCTCATGTATGAGAAGTGCGTCATAAACCTCCGGGCCACCACGACGGGTAGAAAAAATGTCCTAAAAAGAAACCTTATCTCAACACTGAAAGACCATTTAACCGAAAGAATCCGAAACCTTCACTAACATACTGTGAAGTTCAGTTAGTTCAACACGTTAGAGCTTACACACTAAGCCCACTGACTCGGTGTGTTTACTGCCACCGTTTCGTGTACTGGTCCCTAATTCCATTTGCAATCAAGATACACGGTTGGCGACAGTGATGTAGATAACTGGAAAGTACTGTCGTGTCCTTGAAAATATTGGTGATGTTTATATTTTATATTTTTTTTATAAGCACTATACGTAGAGGCAATGCATTTTACTATTAATTTTTTTACGCAACCAAAATATATATTTTTTTGTTAAACTTTGCCACACACTAGGATTTTCTCCCGTGTCGTGTGTACACATACACATGACACCCAGACTCGGAACAACAATCTGTGGATCACACAAAGAGTTGTTACGTGCGGGAATCGAACCCGTGACACGTTTCGTGGCAGCCTGTTGCCCAGCCACCGCGCGAACCGTGCAGTCAAATTGTGTTTTTAATAAAAATCTACGACCCAGAAATTCTTTATTAAAATTGGACTAATTATTACTCAACACGTTTATTAAACTGTCAAACACCAAGCGGTCACCGGTGACCGCGACCTATTGTTCTTTAATTGTGTCTATAAAACCGGTACTCGACGAGTTAAATTTGATAATAGTTAAATTGTGAAGTAAAATAAAAATCGTACCTACAATGAGATAAAGATATAAAAATACAAGACCGTTGTCGATTATGAATTTTGAGAATACTCCCAAAGACCACCTGATATATTTTCTGACTTCACTAAAGATACCACATCTAGCCATCTACATCAGCGCTCATCTGTACCATTCGCAGCTAGAAATGTGTTAGTATTGTTCATAAAACAGCCGAGTACCTGTGGAAGTAGTCATGAATACATCAACACCTAATTTCGGCGGAGTTACAAAGGAACTTTATCCTAATGAAAATGACTTAGGGAGGGTTATGACCCTTAGTACTTATTTGGTTCTAGATAACTGTATAAGAAAAAGTTTTAGTAGGGTGAACTCATCTAACTTCGTGACAAAGGCATTTGAGTAATAAAATACCAATAAATTATTAATTAATTTAATTCAGTCTCCGCATGAGTTTTAATCAGTCTTTTATGAGGAATATTAGCACAAATAATCAGATTTTTTTCTAGAAACCTAAGAGTTCTGGCAAATTTACTAAACCGAATTATTAGGCGAGTCACAGAATTAGATGAGTTCACCCTACATAGGTAACGTAATTAGATGTTAAGTGATGATACTATTTTGATATAATATTTTTTGAAAGAACATTTGTATGTTTATTTAATGAATTTTTTATTAAATGATGATGCGTGGAATAACGATTTTGAAGTATTTATTATAATTAAAATAATAAATTCTTACTACGACATCGTGTTGATTAGAAATTAAAGTAATATGTAGACTTTTAGAGCTCATTGGCACATGAAGAAATATGTCCAGTCTTATTACTAAGAATTTTACACAATCTCAAACTTTCATTGTAACAAGCCAAAATGAGGCAGTGCATTAAAATTCTTAACAAAAGCGACAACATTCAATATATTCGGAATGAGTATTCCGAATGTATTTTATGTATAGATGAGTATCCATCACTCATCAAAGCAAAATCATTATAATCCTTACTATATAATATATAATATTATAAATCGGAAAGTGAGTTTGTTTGTTTGTTTGTTTGTTCCACTTTCACGCCGTAACTACTAAACCGATTGCTTTGAATTTTTGCAGACATAAAGTTAGAAGTCCGGATTAAATAATAGCGTACTTTTTATACTTATTATATACTAAAATTTGATATTCCCGAGGGAAAACAAAAGTATTGGTATAGATGGCGCTGTGTGTATTGGTATATGTCACATAGGCTACTTTATCCTTTTGTGACGCGAGCGAAGCCGCGGGTAAAAGCTAGTTACCAATAATTCAAATAACTATAAGAAGTTTTATTCTACTATGGTTAAGATCGTACCGTAATGTGTACCTTAGCCTACACCTTCGGGGATAAAAAGGAGTGATATTATGTTATGTGGTTAAGATCCTTTACTGTATTATACACTAGCTACTTTCCCGCGGTTTCACACGCGCTGCTCAGCTCCTATTGGTCGTAGCGTGATGTTTTATAGCCTATAGCCATCCTCGATAAATGTACTATCCAACACAAAAAGAGTTATTCAAATCAGACTTGTAGTTACGGAGATTAGCTCGTTCAAACAAACAAACAAACAAACAAACAAACTCTTCCGTTTTATACTTTAATAGTATAAGAGTATAAGATTCTCTCGTTCGCCTCGTTGGCCGAGTGGTCGTAAGTGCGACTGCCGGGCAGGGGGTCTCGGGTTCGATTCCCGGGTCGGGCAAAGTATTACTGGGTTTTTAAATGTTGTCAGTAGTAGCACGGAGTCTTGAATTGTGCCCGGTATATGGCAATAGTCTCACCCCTTATTACATGGGACTCATAACATAAATAGTGAAAAGTGGGTGTTATATTGTACAGTGGTATAATGTGCACCTCTGCCTACCCCTTCGGGGATAAAAGGCGTGATGTTATGTGTATGTAGTATAAGATTCTCAACTTACCCAAAGCAAATAAACTTCCAGCAACAGTACTAAACGCTCCTTGCTGCACCCTCCTTATATCTCCAGAAGATATGACCAGCCCGTGCAACCCAACTCCAGCCAGTTCTGACACTGAAGATGAGGACAGTACTGAAACTCCTCGGAGCGCACAGTCCAGGAGTGATACTGCTGTGTTCTTGTTTCTAGCCTTTTGTTCGCGGAGGTGACGGCCTATGATCTGAAAGAGAGGTGATATTTTAGATGATTGGTTGAAAAATTGGATTGGTTGGACTGCCTCGGTAACCGAGTGGTCGCAAGTGCGACTACCGGCCAAGGGGTCTCGGGTTCGATATCCGGGTCGTGCAAAATATTACTGGGTTTTTAAAAAAAAATATCTCAGTGGTAGCACGGAGGCTGGAAATGTGCCCGGTATATGGCAATAGGCTCACCTCCTATTACATGGGACTCATAACATAAATAGTAAAAAGTGGGTGTTACTTCTGCGTGCTCCTCTGCCTACCCCTTCAGGGATAAAAGGCGTGATGTTGTGGTTGAAAAATTGACTTTGATGACAGGGGGATAAAGTTGGTTTTGGCTTTTGTGAGGTGTGAATAATAAAGATTTTGTTGATAATGTTTGATGGTGTGGATTATTGTGTAGAACTTTTAGCATGTAGCATATTGTTTACAATTACATCCTATCATCATCATCAACAGCTGGAAGACGTCCACTGCAGGTGGCGAGTTGTCGTTCGACGTGGAGGACTATGCAGGGGGTCTTTGTCCAGAAGTATCATCTCTTGTAATGTAAAAACTAACATGTATTGAAAAGTTGATAACTGTGCAATTTTTTTCATTTATTCATCGTATTGATCTTCCTAATAGTTCATTAAAAAGCCAAGAATAATACCTGAACTAAAGAACCAACCTTATTCTATAGGCGACACAGTTCATTAAATACACATCAAAAATATACTCAATAAATAAGAAATAACTTCTACAGCACACAAAATACAGAATTCAATTCAAGAGATTCGTCAAATTAAAATATACGAAGAAAAACAAACGAATGTCGGAACAAAATCCGAAAAGCCTACAATAGAATATTATCAAATCCAAGTCGTTTCAACAAAGATAAGTCCCTAGTAAGAATTATTTAAAACGTATTCCTTGCCTAACGTAATCCATACTAATATACTAAACATGCGAGATTGTGTGTGTCTGTTTATTTGTTCGCCTTTCACGGCAAAACGGAGCGACGTTTAGACGTGATATTTTAAGTGAAGGTAATAATTGATGCGATGGAGCGTGCCAAATACTACTTTTGTCTCTTTCGCTAGAAAAGTGGAGCTTGACCCTACTTCTCTAAAAGTTGGAAATTTGTATGGAAGATTCCACGTTTTTAAAGATACAAAAGTTAAGAATTGGTATGCGACCCATTTGTGACTAATAAAATAATTGAGCATTTTTTAATCTTTCTATTTTGTTAGTCTGCCTGTAACCTCATGAGGGCTTAACGGGTTGCCGGGCTCCGGTTCGAAGTGCAAGAGAAGGAACGGGGTGGTTTTTAGTCAGTAAGAGTCTGACAGTCCATCTCGCCACACCCGGGCGGAAAAAGTCATTGGATGATTTTCCCCCCTCAAAAAAAACCTTTAAAAAAGCGCGAGTGAATCCACGGGTGGAAAGCGATATTGTAAAATTCGTAACGTTTTAATTAAACACTAGTTGAATAGAAAATGAATGGAGCCATTCATTAACGATCGAATTAATTAAGGGAAAAATATTTATCTAATTTTGTTCGGGATGCTGAATACAGTTTGGTTTATTTTCAAGGTTCGAATGGTGAAAGTGAAATAAAATTAAAAAGAGATTATGTCAACTTTTGTGTAAGTTAATGGTATGAAGCTGACGTGCAATTGAAGATACCTATGTTCAGCGGAAGACGAAAAAGACTTGATAATTATGATGACAATGCAAGTTATAAAATAGTTTTCTATTTTCTCGTTTCAAACTTTTTTCTATTTTTTCCAAAAAACAACAAAGCCCCAAACTAGGATTCTCCCCTGTGTCGTGGGTGTATTTACCACATACAAGTTCACATACACATCACACCCAGATGCGAAACAACAAATTTGTGGTGAGTGCTCCGTGCGGGAAACGAACCCGCTGTACGTTGGAGGGCGGCAGGCCACAGCACCAACCGTGCAGGCGCACGATTAAAAATAACTACAGTGAAAATAATAATACCCATAAGTAAAAAACTTAATTTAAAAGAAAAATTGTACTTGGTAGTGTTACGTGTTAGTACACGTAACACTATACGATTTGATTAACAAAACATGCTACTAAAACTAAGTATAAGTAGAACAACTACCACCCATATAAGCAAAAACCAATTATAATCTAATTCATCAACGTAACACACAAAGAGCTCAACATCACAATCAATTTTGAGCGCTATTTAATAATATAAATAGTGAAGAATTTCTACTGAAACTATTATGTGAGGCGTATTGAGTCAAGTCGGTGTGGTACTTGGCAGGGATTACTAAAAGCCGCTTTCGAGACGAGAGGGAGCGCCGAGCTATTGTCGTACATCGTGTGAAGCAAATCTGTCATACGTACTTGCATGGCTTGTATGATAGATGGAAAATATGTCATAGTCATATCATTGTCATGTTCACAATTGAGTGAAGGAGCTTCGAAGATTTGAGTGGAATGATTTTTTAATAATCGAATTTTTGGCAACCCTGTGTGTGCCGATTGACAGTGAAATTCGACAAATTATGTCGAACCTTCTATTAAATCAAGTTTTCTTTTTACTGAGGATTTGACGACTGACACTGTACCTTAATGACATTTTTCCTTATCATCATCATTATCTTAACCTTATCCCGGTTGCTTCCTTCGGGGCTAAAAACATACTTTTTTGCTTTGTAACCTATGGAGTTTCTTGCTTGTTCTTCTCCATAGGAATCTACACCTTGGAATGAGCAAATAGCGTCACTTTAAAAAAAATATTGACGTTCAAAAGTGCCTTTCTGGTCTTGAAATTAATGATTTTGACTTTGACTTTTGTCTCTCCACCTTCCCATAATCTTACGCAAAAGACCACATCTTGCGTATAACTTGCCTGTGGCATTATGTCCACTTATGCACCATGATTGTGCATTAATTTTAAATCTATATATCTATAAATGAAACCCGTTCCCCGTTGTCACGCCATAACTTGAGAACGGCTAGACCGATTTGGCTGATTTTTTTTTTTTGTTTATTCTTGTCAGGAGATGGTTCTTATGACAGAAAAAAGTCCTGAAAATCCTACGAGAATGGGAGAAGACGGGATTGCGCGTACGAAGTCGCGGGCAGAAGCTAGTAAATAAATAAAATAAAACATAACATCACGCCTTTTATCCCCGAAGGGGTAGGCAGAGGTGCACATTACGACACTTAATGGCACCGTACAATGTAACACCCACTTTTCACTATTTATGTAATAAAATAAACTTGCCAAAAAACACCAAACAGCTGGCTGTTGGGTGTTGGCCTTTGAAGCTGTGCACGAAGTCTATTGGCCAAAAGAACAGGCTCTATTAATGTTCCATATCTTCTAGTTTAAATTGTCAACTAACACCAAATAGCCAACCTTTGTAGCTATATACCAATACTGGGCTGAATAGCCCCAAACAATATTGGTGGTCACAATATGTCTCTAAATATCCAATAGGCCAAAAGCTTGGCCAGTCGCATTATGGCGATCGTATTTGTACAGAGCCGATAGACGTTGAATCTGAAACAATACCTTTCAGTATCCCTTACTATGGGTGTTTTCGATGGTGTGATATTCTTTTACTTTTGTGACAAATATTGTCATATTTAATAGGGTCTTGTATCTTTCTTATTTTCTTCTAAATGTTATGGGAATCGGTTGAATTTCTGAATCAACTTAATGATGCAAGTTTCAGAAAAGTTGATTTAAACCGGAGTTGTCGTGTCCTCTGGTGTAAAATCCGATGCAACAGTTGAAGCTTTGTCTCTCTGATCAATCTGATCACATCCAATAAATAAAAGTTTGATCATAATCTACTAAGATACTTTGATAAGTATCTTAGTATAATCCACATCCGTATATTTTTGCACTAGAACATTTTCTGAACAATAAGCTAGTTTAATGAAATTGATTTTACTTTCCGAACTGGTATCTTGGTCCATCAACCTAGACATTTCATCTCCTAAATTCGAGTACAACGAGTAAGTCACTAACACTATCCACAATTCACTTGTAGAGAGGCGTTCAGTAAACAAAAGCTATCGATTGGCAGGTGCGTGAATCGGTGGGACTTTGATAAGGGTCCATGATCGCCCTTCGAGCTCTTCACGTCAATAAACGTCTCAAACCGGGGCTAAGTGCCCCTGACCGATTATGAAGAAATAAGGGCGTTATATGAAGGAAATCTTGGGTACCCACCTATGTTTGATTGCTTCTTTCGATGAGTATTTCCTTTCGGTATAGTATTTTGATCATAATATTCTGGTGGCTGTAAGTATTTTCAACTCATCGAGGATGCTAGACAATTTTCAGATATTGTCCTACCTAACCCAGACCTACGTTAAATCTGCCAACCAGTATTTTATTCTTTAAAGAAACTTTTTTCCCAGTCTAGAATTTTTTCCTGTATCGTGGGTGCGTTTACAAATATACAAGTTCACATACACATGACACCCAGACCCGGAAAAACAATATTTGGGTCAAAAAAAGAGTTGTTCCGTGCGGAAATCGAACCCGCGACACATTGCGCGGCTACCAGTTGCCCAGCCACCGCGCCAACCGTGCCGTTTTACAATTAGTATCAAGCAAAAAATTCAACAAAACTTTTGGACCGTCTGATGGTAAGCGGTCACCGTGGCTGAAGCCTAAGAACACTTGCAATACCAGAGGCATTACCAGTGCATTACCGATCCATGCGTAGAAAGCCACGAATTCAGTGACACATGTCATAAGTCCCAAGTATACTTAAATAACAACACTAAACATGCCTACATGCCTATTAAAAACATAAAAAAACGAAACACAATCAATACAAGTCTATTCCAAAAAACTATATCACCTAACAATTTTTCTACAACAAAATACACAAATACCTGACCGTTGTAAGCCGTAAAAGAAAAAAAAATACAAAGACAAACAATACCACGAGATTCGGTGAACCAGTATTTAAACACTTCAATATAAGGTTTCAGACGATTCGCTGAAATTCTAACAAATGCCTGAAGGGACTATAAACAACTATGTGTGGAGGACAGTTATAATTTTCTGTTTAACTCCATTTCATTGGAGGTTTTATATCACTACACAGTATAAAACAAAGTCGCTTTCTCTGTCCCTATGTCCCTTTGTATGCTTAAATCTTTGAAACTACGCAACGGATTTTGATGCGGGTTTTTTTAATAGATAGAGTGATTCAAGAGGAAGGTTTATTTGTATAATACATGCATATTGCACCCGTGCGAAGCCGGGGCGGGTTGCTAGTTATAAAAATAAAGAATTGGAACATGAATAGTATTCCCAAAAGGTAAGGTTCATTATTAAATGTAACTCTAAGTTAAATATGTTCGTGGTCTTATGGCACTGGTAAGACTTGCAATGGGGCCTACCGTATTATTATTTTGCTCACTAGATGGTGCTATTGTAAACATCTCGTTCTTCATCTAATAGGGAATTAACTAGTGTCAGGCCATAGGGCATTCAATATTTGACAGCTGCTGTGATTGGTCAAAAATACCTCTTCCTACATTTGCGCCGTCTGATGAGCAAACATAACAAGCCCGCGATTCCTTGAACTGGAAAACATGACATCATCGTTGACAGTTCATGACAATCCCCTACTGGATTCCTCTACATGAGAGGATTTGCCACGCTTGGCATTAGCAGGCGGGTTGGAGATCGCAGTTGATTGGTTTATTAGAGAGCGCTGCTACACTGTCTCAGACACCCATGGTTCTTGCCATTAGGTGGTAGGGTGGTGTTAAATGTATTGTACGTACTTTTGCGTCATGCGTCATCATGTAACTAAATACGTATGAACTGACACGAACAACTATCAAAATGTGAACATCTTCTACTCACCCATTTTCATAATAAAAGCGTAAACTTCCATAATGTAACGAGTGTTCAAATCGTATAAGAAACAAAACAACATCGGGTCAGTGACGTTCCTTTACGCCCCGTTTCCTTTATCCGTTCCTTTATACGCAATGTAGCTGCATTGATTTCAACTTCGTGAAACTGCTGTTATTGTTTTCTTTGACATGCTACTCTGAATTTTATTCGGTGTTATATTGGGATTTTTGGTTGGGAAAATGTGATAATACAGTAGTAATCACATCAATCATCATCAACAGCCTATAAATGCCCACTGCTGAGCAAAGCCTCTTCTCACACGGAGAAGGTTTGAGCATTAATCGCCACGCTTGCTCAATGTGTGTTGGCGATTTCAAACTTATAATAAGAAATTAAAAGCCCAGGTTTCCTCACGATGTTTTCCTTCACCGTTTGTCAGTGGTGTCTAGATAATCTTAGAAAGTACATATAACTCGGAAAAAGTCACATTGGTACTAGCCGTTGGTAAGTTTCGAACCGGTACCCTTATTTATACCTCCGGGCCACCACGACATATATATAGACTAACCACGTAGATGGCAGTATTTTACATAGAGGGACTGTAAACTGCTGGATGTAGGTCGCCTCAACCTCTCCACCGAAGCCAACAGTGGGCCTCTTGTGGCTGATAAAATGATAATGATGACGATGATGATTGCCAAGCTTCTAGGAGTGATACCGTTAACAAAAATATACCTTAAGTACCTAAAAATAAAGTATACCTGTAAAGCAGTGTGGTCGCCGGCACATCGCAACGTGTGTGGAAGATCGCACGAGCACTCCGCCGCCGGTCGTGCAGAGAGACCCGGGCACCTCCACTGTGCGTCCACGGCGTGCAGCAACGTGCACAGCACGCACACCGCGCCCATTAGCCACATCCTGAAAACGAAATTAAATAATAATACTTTATTAGTTACTTAGAAATATCTATTACATTATAAAAGATAGATCCTTGTTTGGAAAGAAGTCGAAAGAAAATATTGCTGGTATAGTCTCGTATGTACACCATATTTTTTTCTAAAATAGCTGATCTACATAAATTGTCGAATTGGGTGAAACGTCCAATTCGAAGTTGGACAATTGTAGGATTTTTTGGTTAAGAAACCATTCGTGGTTTTAAATTTCATTCCCCGACACGAAACAATGTCTGGGATGTCTTTAATTTCCCATTGAAAGAAAACAATAAATGTTTACCTTTTAAAAATGTCCAGTGATTCAATTGTTTACCTAATCCGTTTTAAAATAAATTAAATCTTAATACTACACCAGAAAAATATGAGACCATAAATTCTTAAATTCAAAAACAAACTCGCAAAGAACATTTAGAATCAAATGGAAAATTTTCCACGAATCAAAACCAAAACAACGCCAATTGGGTCGTCATGATAAATTATTGTTTCTGTTCTTGTTATTACTGGAAATATGGAACTTATGTAGGTTAGTACATGAATCAAAAACTTCGAACATACCGCCACATTAACAATACGGGAGCAAGCTAAACAAAAAGTAACAATCGTACAAAATTCTGTAGTCCCCTATAAAATTGAGATACGACTAGAGATTGGGACAAGTGGCATCTTAAAAGGCAATTCCGGTCATAATCCGAGGTACTTGTAGAAGAATGGAGCTGGTGCAATGCGTGCTTGCGACATAATGGGACGTTTCCACTGAGTGACGACCGGATGAGGGGTGCAAGTTAAGATTTGTAAGCGATTTTCATGTAGAACCACATGATAAGGCTATAGTTATGGTTGCTAATAGGAAAACCTTTTTCTGATTTGGATCTTTGATTAAAAATTTCGAATTGACAACTCTTCAGCAAGTTCAAGGCATTTCCTCAATTACAAGACTATTCTGCGAGTATTAAATCAAGAATATAAAGGTATTTCAAACAAGTCAGTATTGCTGAATATTTTCAAATGGAAACACCAAATAAGTATTTATTAACCCAACCAAAGTTCAAACAGTACCTTTTAGTGATTGCTAACAGTCCGAAAACGTCCTCAACACAGACGTTAATCCCATTGTGGAGTCATGTTTAAAGCAAACCGCTGTAAACTTATCCCTGGGACCAGAACTGGCTACGTTGGGAACAGGAGCTAGTTACATGACTATTGATAACAGTGGGTGACGGACGGCCATCGACCTCCCACTCCCGACGGCTACATCTTCCATACTTGTCTATATTTCACACCTGTTCACGTGGAAAACTTAACTTTCAGCTTTCTGAATAATGCTCTATTGGTCGAGTGCTTGTGAGTATCACTATCGAACAATATTTTCGAATACTTCTCTGTATGGTAATAGGCTCACCACGTATTACATGGAACACTTGGAAAATGTGTGCACTTTCACTTAACTCTTCGGAAAATAAATGGCCTATTGGCATAATATATTATGTAAATAGCATATTGTTGGGAGCTATTAGGCCGTGGTCTTCGGAGATGTCTGCAACATCAGAGGTATCTTTCAGTCGTTGTAAAAAATATTACCTTTTCAAAAATACTACTTAAATAACAAAGAGAGACACACAGATCTCTTTGTTTTTTCTTTGTTCAATCTTATATCAAAAAGGTGATATGTATTTACTTAGTCTTTATTTTTTGCAATAACTTTCTATTACAAAAATAATGTTCACATTTCATTCGACAGTACAATACGCATACATTGTACGTCGCTGTTCACACAAGCAGCCACAGCGCTCTTAAGGCCAGGACCGCCTAACAACCAATTAACGGTGGTCTCTATACCACCCAAATTTCGCCACTTCTGTAAATTTACGAGGGGTCAACGTATATTGGTTGGTCTTCCACACGATATATCACTAAATGTTAGTGGTTTTGACAGGGGACGGGCAGAGTTTTGGGTGCAAACACTGTTTTACTGTGAACTGGTTATCATTTGCATTTTGATTTAGGTAGCCATTTTAAAATGTTTGGTTTTTCAAAGGTCACGTCGGTGGATTTTTCAGGGTTTAGGCTTCGTTTCTTTGGTTTTAGTATTTTGTTTAATTTTCTCTTCTATAAGACTGGATAGAGACATTATTATTACCTAAATTACTTTTACACTGTGACCGTATCAATTTTTCACGAAAGACAAGCCTAATTGTATCGCCGTCCATACCCGTAACTATAATATTACTCATATAGTGCAAACCTTAAAAAAATAGTTTAAGTCTATTAAGCTTAAAGAGGCTCCAAACAAATAAACACTATCGTACTTATAATATTATAATATTAGTTGAGCACAAAAAAGTAATTTAGAAAATAATTTCCGGACCGATGTAAGGAAGTTGGCAAATCACTCGATTAACGTCGATTTCAAACCGATTCCAGCGAATAAAAAGAAACAACCAATATATAAGTAAATACAATAACAGTTTACAAACGTTTATATTGTACTGAAACAATACTATTCACGCGATACCAGTAGTGTCGGGGTCCCTAGGAAAAACATGTTCATGGAAACTAGCGCCAAGACATGCCCCAAGACATTTATGCCGGAATACTGAAACGTTACTTAATTTTAAGTCGTGCTCAAATATCGTGCCATCTCTGTTATTTTACAAAGAATTTGTAGAGATAGAACTATACTTTAGCATGACTTAAAATTGAGTAGCGTTTCAATATTCCGACATTAGACTGTTAAAATATATTTCTTAAGGAATTAATTAGTAAAAATTCTCATACTTAAAATAGTAAATGCTACCTTTCTCTATTTACTTTATAAACACGCAATGTGCAATTCTAAGCTTTGTACTGATAAGTATTGTATGTAAATATTACGATTCATGCTAAGTAAATTGTTAAATCTATTATTTTACTACTTATTAATCTACTTTTTTTATGTTATGTTTAATGAACTGCTATTTGTTGCCCTTTATAAAGTAAAATAAAAAAATAATATATAAATGAAAATTGTTCAATAGTAATCTGTTTATTTATTTTAGTCCCCGTTATATTCATATTTATGTTCTAAAATTATCTAAACCAATACTACAGTTTTAAAAAATGAATTCTTATAGGTATGCTGTTTAAATAAAATTAAACAAGGCCGTTATGTTTTTTGTCTGTCTTGGCGCATGCACTACCGTGCTCCCAAATCCGTAACGATACGGATCCGTAAAGATTCAGATCCGTAACAAAGCAATTTACGGAATGACTTTAGTTCCGGAGTTCCGTCCCGATCGCTTATCGAACGCATTCTATCTTTGTCTTATTGTTATTTTTTGTTTTACATTTATAAGCTACTGTTTTAATAAGGTGTTATTTCTGTATGTATTATGCTACATTCACACTATCGCGCGAGCGGACACGAGGTTGAGGTACATTGCAGTCTTATAATGCGAGAAGGACTTTAACTCATCTATAATAACATCAATGTATCTCGGCCTCGTCTCGACTCGCGCGAGAGTGTATATGTAGCATAAAAAAATAAACTGTTTGTCCTACTAATAGTATTCTAAATGCGAAAGTTTGTGATGATGTGTATTCTTACTCTTTCACGTGAAACGGATCGAGATGAAATTTGATACACCGAGGTAGGTTGCAGTCAGTTAGAGTCTGACAGTCCCTTTCGTCCTCCCCAAGCGAGAGGGTTCCATGAGGTTATTCCTAACTTGAGGTCAAAAAAAAGGGATAGATTATGATCTGGATATACATAGCCGCTTTTTAACGGGACGCGGGCAAAGCCTCTGGCAAATTGAAGCTAGTATAACATTTAGGTACAATGTACAAATCCTATTGTCGTATTAGTGAAGATTCCCTTAATAACTTTTTTGCCTTTAGAAATGTGGGCTAACGGTATTCCGTTAGCCCACATTTCAGCCATTGCAGCATGCTATTGCATAAAGCGAAATAAAATATGAAGCTCAAGGCAAGAACAAGGTGATGTGTGGATCTCAAGACAGACCATGGTGAAAAACTTCAATTGATCGGTCTCTGTCTCAACTAAGGGCATTAAGTCAAGTCAATTAAAACTCTATATAAGCACAGTGAGCCAGCAGATGAATTTACTTCAATCTGTCAAATTTATTTATTGGATGTTCGACTTTATGTCAATATAATAAAATTGAAGATGTAATAGGGAAAGTCAGAAAAGGATAGGTTCACCTGCTGACCAGTGTACATAATGTTAAAATCCATATATTTTGGCTTGAGGTTGGTTACTATTTTGAGTAATCTATAGATACAATGCAATCTATATATATAAAAATGAAACCCGTTTCCCGTTGTCACGCCATAACTTGAGAACGGCTAGACCGATTTGGCTTTTGTTGTGTTTGTTATCGTCAGGAGAAGGTTCTTATGACAGAAAAAAGTCCTGAAAATCCTACGGGAATGGGACAAACGGGATTGCGGGTACGAAGTCGCGGGCAGAAACTAGTAAATAGATAAGATAGATACCTTTTTTTTAACGTGTGGAAATCTTCATGGATACCCTTTGTCTAGACAATGAGCGTCAGACAGCAGGTTATGTCGGACTCTTACCGACTAAAACCACACAGTCAATCCCAGAAAACAATGAGAGAGTCACTGGGTACTCGAATGAACGAACTCATACCTACCTATCGCCTCTTTGAAACAACAACATACTGAACAGTCTCAATATTGTATCTCTATTTACTTTTAATGTCACCTTTAGAATACAAAACAAAATCTAGCATTTGACCTGAGATTGGATAGGCTACAAACAAATACAATTTAGTACTTAGATTGAGACCTAGAATCTCAAAATGGGCACGTATATCTATTTTCTTATCTAGAGACTATCTTTAGAATTTGCTGAACGATAGAAATAAAATGAAGATAAATATTTATGCAGAGTTTTTATGCAATAAAAATGTTATTGAGTTATTTTTTTTAATCCTTTCCAACACTAGGATTTTCTCCTGTGTCGTAGGTATAAACATACAAGTTTACATGCGCATGACACCCAGACCCGAAAAAATTTTTGAATCACACAAAGAGTTGCCCCGTGCGGGAATCGAACCCGTTGCGTGGTAGCACATTGCCCAGACATCGTTTTTGCTAAAACAATGACTACATGTTGATGAAAATTTTAATCTTAATTTTTTTTGAATCAATAAAAACAATACCTTGAGTTCAATCACAAAAAAAAATCGAAAAACCAACCTAAGACCCAGACTACCACAGATGGGGCCCAGTAGAGCTGATACCCGATACGGAGCCGCGGAAGACCTAACAGCATGCTTGGGGTCCGGCTTGAAGAGCAAGAGTAGGAACGGCGTGGTTTGTAGTCAGTAAGAGTCTGACACTTCCTCTCGGCGGAAAAAATCATTGGATGATATTCCCTACTTAAAAAATAGACCCAATCTTATCAAAAGCATTTAAAACTCAACCGATAAAATAGTCAAACACCAAAATTCACAAATTAATCTCCAACAACAGCTTAACTTTACCGATCCGTTGTCCATACACCTCAGTATATTTACTCTTGCAAGGACATTGTGTCCTCTCCCAAGAGGTCACTATGTACACACGGCTACACATCGAGCTTTACATAACCAGTATAAACTGAACGTTAAATGTGCGGAAAGATGATGCGACGCGATACCAGGATAAACTGGTTTTGTATAGATTGATGTGTGTACCAAGTGTCCACCGGTTACATTGAATTTAGTGTTTGTTGCAACTAAGTTTGCGTGCTGTAAGAGAATTAGATGAACTGAAGTGACTGTGGTCAAAGTTTCGCAGTGTAACATTAGATATTTGGAGTCAGAAAATAGAACTAGGGTGTTATTAAATAGTAGAATGAAGGGATATGGATATTATGAGATGTTAAACTAGAAATTGGTGTTTAACCGCCTCCAAAAAAGAAAAAAAAATAGGTTCTCAGTTTAACCTGTATGATGTATGTTTGTTTGTACGCAATTATCTCGCAATTGGCTGAACTGGTTACGCTTAGAAGAAGGGTGTATATTAATAAACCGAATCAAATCAAATCAACGTATTTGTTAACACATGTAATACAGAGAGGTGTTTAATATACCGACTTCAAAAAAGAGGCGGTTGAATTCGGTTTGCCTAAACGTGGTTTATAAAAGAATGATTTATAAACCAGCTACTTTACCCAAGTTCTCAAAGGTAAAAAGTAGCCTATGCGTTTCTCCAGACCAAAATGTAGGTCCAAGTTTCATTCCGGTTCCTCCAGCCGTTTTGCCATAAACCGGTACTTTTTCAGAGTTAAAATAAAATACTATTATAGTATACGCACTTTTCGCCAGTTATAATAATATGCGAAAGAAAACAAACCTATCATTACACACCAAGTAAAAATCCAATCACTATCAATCCTCTAAGAAAAACTCAAAGCGCGCACATAGCGTCACTTCAAATCCTCAGATTAAGCTAAGTCCTCATTGGTCAGTTATGGCTGCAGCACTGTTACGATTGGACGGTTCGGTTGTTAGTGCACGTACGAATCCCTGGATGACAGGACAGGTTGGACGGATTATTGCCAACCAAATTGGGTACAATAACTGCTTGGCTTTCAAGCGTGGAAATTCGGATTGAGAGATCAAGGGGATTTCGTGGTTTCTTAAATTGAGGACGCGTTTAACGGTTCGGAAATTTAATTTGAATTTCGTATTTTAAATGTATGGAAGTTTATTGTAATGTGTAAATAGTGCTGCGTAGGATTGTTAAGGTTTTCTATTAATAAACTCTCAGCACATAAGTACACGTAGTTTGAAACGGAATACAATTAGAGAAAATGTGGGCGTATAGTGTGAGTAATTTGAAAACAGATTTGGTAATAAATAATATTAGATAGTATAAAATAACCACTGATAGTAATAAAAACGAGGTGATCCGACAGAGAGCTAAAGTTACCGATGTAGCCCAAAGGATTAGCAAGCTGAAATGGTAGTGGGCTGGTCACATTTGTCGAAGAACCGATGACCGTTGGGATAGATGTGTTCTGGAGTGGAGACCGCGCCTAGGAAAACGTAGTGTAGGGCGCCCTCCAGCTAGGTGGAGTGACGATCTACGTAAAGTGGCTGGTAATGGTTAAATACGCAGAGCCGAAGACCGAGCTCAGTGGCGTGCCATTGGAGAGGCTTATGTCCAGCAGTGGACGAAAACTGGCTGATGATGTAGTAATAAAAACACCGTTTATTAGCCGTTGTGAAGTAACTACTCGATCTGACTGAATGAACAAAAATCATTTTTAAAACCAGGTCGCTAAAACGATGCAGACACAGTCTCTTGAAACAACGACTGCTTCACCTGGCTACTATTAACTTAGACGCAGAACATACATTGACACGAAGGACATTTGCTTAAGTCTGATAATGTGGTAAACCCTATTATTATTAGTATTTTTTTAATGAGCCATCAGACCACCACGGATGGGGCCCAACAGCGCTGATGCCGATTCGGAGTCGCGGAGTACCTAACGGGTTACCGGGGCTCCGGCTCGAAGTGCAGAAGAAGGAACGGGGTGGTTTTTAGTCAGTAAGAGTCTGACACTCCATTCGATGATTTTCCCTCTTAAAAAAAACCCACGCACACATAAATAACCCACTGACATTTTAGTGCTTCATTCATTTCTGACATTGTGTTCGCCCTTTTTATAACGTCCTTGTTTAAAAGTTTATCTATCAAACCATAGAGCTTCGCCTTAAGCCCTATGCGTTACAATTGCGTGCAGTTTTACAAAGTGAATAATTGGACACTCCCTGCTATAGAGCGCAGGCAGAGCGAGCCAGTCGCCGGTGCAAACTGTTACAGGATACTAATATTATTAGGTAAGTGACACTTATTGGGAATAGGGAAAATGTATCTTATTGACGTTTGGATAAGTCATAATTAAGGTTGTTAAAAATTAAATGAAAGTTTAATATTAAGAAAAAAAAATAGAAAACTGCTCTAAGTAAGAATGTCTAGAATATTTTTCGGTTTAATGCTTGATATATCTTGATTATCATATAAAAAAAATATACTAATAATCGAAGAAAGTGTAACCAAAACCCGAGTGAATAAGTTGCTTATGGGATGACGTGCTCCATCGTAGACTGTATCATTGCTTACTACCAGGCGAGATAGTGGTCAAACGTCGGCCCACCAAATATAAAAAAAAACTGAAAACTATCAATCGCTTTTCGCTGATTTCGCTTCGCGCATTTCGCTGATTCTATACTTCAACCCAAAGGTTGCCTGGGAGAAAATGCCATATGGCATTAAGTATGCCTTATGTACCTAATTTGTGTGAATTAAAGAGTTAATAAATAAATAAATAAAAATAAAATCAATGTCATAAAAAATCCGCAAAACAAAAATTTCATTATCCAATTATAATCATAATCATTACGTATGAATTTTACAAAATACATAAACGACAATACAATACTGTAAATCGGTCACCAGTAACTGATTCGACATTTACACATTAATTTTTCATTATTAACTCACTTTGTTAGCAAATAAACAAGTGACGCAATATATTTTTCACAGTCAATGAAAATTATGAAATATTTCACAGTGTTAATGATTCAATGTGGATTTTGTATCGGATGTATGTGTGTAATATTAATTTGATTTTAACATTAACATGACTGCACGATTGGTGCGGTGTCTGTACTACGTGTAGTGGGGTTGATTCCTACACGGAATAACTTGTGTGATCCACAAACTGTTGCTTCGGGTCTGAGTGTTATGTGTATGTGATCTGTATGTTTGTAAGCGCACCCACGACACAGAAGAAAATCCTAGTGTGAGGCAACGTTTTTTTAAAAACACTAAAACATTCATCAGAATACATGACTAGCTCTGTATGCGGTAACTTCACTTGGTCTTAGAAAAGAAGGTACATCCAGTTACTATCTACATAAATCCTAATAATAGCTCCGTGGTCACGTGAAAGAAAGACAGTTTCGATTTTAAAATGTTTGTAAAGATTGTTGTTTTACCTATCACACATTTATAAATCCAGCTCGGATAGAGAATGCTGAAGAGAGATATAGGCTACCCACAGGTGCAGCCGTGGATAGTAACTAGATAAATGTATAAATGTAAAAAGACTAGACTGCTTCATTGGTCGAGTGGTCGCAACTGCGACCGCCGGGCAAGGGGTCTTGGTTTAGATTCCCGGGTCAGGCAAAGTATTACTGGGTTTTAAAAAATATCTCAGTAGTAGCACGGAGTCTGGAATTGTGCCCGGTATATGGTAATTGGCTCACCCTCTATTGCATAAGACTCATAACATAAATAGTGAAAAGTGGGTGTTACATTGTACAGTGACATAATGTACACCTCCGCCTACCCCTTCGGGGATAAAAGGCGTGATGTTATGTTGTATGTTGTTGTTGTAAAAAGACTGAGGAAACTTTGTTTATACTTCTTGCATAATATGCTCGCGAACTAGTAGTAAACTGAGTGCATTTAACATGTTTTACTTATTTGATCATTGCTTTGTACTGGAAGCGCGGTAATGCTAACTGTGTCCATTACACGATTTTGTACTCTACACTCATTTGACGGACCAAGTCAATAACAAGCTACAATATAGATGATGACAGGGTATAAAAATTAAAAATCTAATTAGTCCGTCAGTTAGGTAATGAAAAAAAATAGACACCTATTTTATTATTTTGTTGTATAACAAAACAATACTTAGATAAAACTAATCAAAGTTTAGGAGTGGGTACGTCATTTTAGTGTATAAATCGTACTCAAAAGACGTCATGCGATATTTCAAATCAATATATATTCTAAACTATTCGTTTCCGTAAAAAAATACGTGTCTAATTTTTTTTAATAATCTACCAGACGGACAGCTTATTAGGTGTATTAGTTGTGTAACAAAGTCTAAACCTCTCCACCAATTATCATCCAATTCGATTTAGCCATTCTTGAGTTATAAATAGTGTAACTAACACGACTTTCTTTTATATATATAGATTACTTAGAAAACAATAGATGATGATCGCGAATTGCCTTGTTAAAACTGGTGTCTACTCTACACCATCGGCATACTAAGTATCAAACAGAGAGTTTGAATTTCACCAAGAGGGTATCTCTTTTTGTAGCTAAAAGTCAGTCAAAGTCTTAGGATCTTGCATCCACCTACCTCCACTAATCAAATAGTCAGTTCGACCCTATGACAGGGACCATCAATTGTCCGCCGCATAGGACCTGCCACGAGGCAGTCTCAATATGTAAATATAGGCGCACCGTCCAAGGCTTCAATTTCTAGGAACGCAACTCGATTACCCACGTGAACCGATCTGCCAATTACTCGAGTTCGTCTAGTGGTAAATAGCTTCACTATACTGCTTTGTTCGTTGGTTATTGTCGAAAGATATTGAAAATAAAAGTTGCATTAAGGAAAAGCAAAGCCGACAAAATTGTCCATTACGCATTTTTTTTTCGAGGGGCATAATCATCCGATGGCTTATCCCATCTGGGTGATATGAGAGGGAGTGTCAGACTCATACTGACTGAAAACCACCCCGTTCCTACTCCTGTGGTTCGAACCGGAGCCCCGGCAACTCGTTAATTCCTCCGCGGCTCCTTATCAGCATCAGCCCTATTTGTCCCTTACTCCTTTATTTGTATTGCTAACCATCAGGCTTATCCCATAAAAAAAAGAAACATCATTTCCCATCAAACAAACCGAAATTTTTCCTCAAAAGACAGAGCACAGACACAATACAAAACCGTGCCGTCTAATCAATGCACCTGTGCAACTCTCAGCACATATTAATTAGCTAGACTGATACCGGAGAGCAGGGTTAATTTAATCGTGCTGCACTGTTTAACGTCGGATAAGAGCTACGATTGCGGGCTCTTGATGTTTATCTAACATATCGATTCTAGTTGCTAGCAAGTCCTCAGTTTCTTTGTGATGAAATTCTCTTTTCTATATTACTAAATTTGCTCTGAAGGACGTTAGAGTCTGACACTCCCTGTCGCCTCAACGGGCGGGAGAAGTCATTGAATGATTTTCCCGCCTCAAAATAAATCGTAGTCCGCATCATCGCTTACCAACAGGTGAGCGATATTGGCAAAACGTCGGCCTCTCAAATAAAAAAAATATGGAAAATGTTGCCCAAATGTGAAATAACGTCAAAGTCAAAGTCATTTATTTCAATTAGACCAGGAAGGCACTTTTAAACAACAAAAAATTTAAAAGTGAAGCATGTTCATTCCTCGGTATTGATTCCTATGGAGAAGAACGAGCAAGGAACTCCATAGGTTACTATTTTTCAATTAAGTCAAATCATTATGAGTAGAGCAGGTCCATAGTTCAATTAGTTGGACTGTGTTGTATTGTGGTTAAGTGGTTGATAAGGCTGTTGATGATAATGATGATGAAGCACTAAAATAAAGACATAAAAGAAAGAAAGAAATACGCAATCACTCACAATTCTTCTCTTTCTTCAGAAAATCCTTTATTGTAGCCCATTTTAAACACAATGCATAATTCCTTTCTACAAAAACTCCCTTATTTTGTACTAAACAAACCCGACATTACAGCGATAACCACACAAACTTTCTTCGTTCGCTTAAAATATCCAAAAACAAATGCCTGCAGCGGTGTTCCATCTACAAGTTGCTTGCATCCGGAGCGCAGTTAGGTGCAGCGCGCACTAACGACTCGGGAACACAAAATGTATTTTATAATGAGTCCCGTAATGTAACCAGCGTACTATGTTTCCTTGGGGTTGATTTGAAGATTTTAGGGTGTGGCTTCTTTGAACATGTGGTCCAATTAGACCAACGAAGGTACTTTTGAATGCTGAAAGTACAATAAGAATGTGTTTAAAGTTGAAATGTGCCTGAGGAGACTATATAGTAAATCGTACTGTGGGTTATTAAACTGTGAACAGATACCATTGCAACGACTGTACGATAAACCACACATGGGTTTAGAATTTGCAGCGTATCGGGTACAGGGTGCGTGATACAGTCCCCTAAGCTTTTCAAGAAATATGAAAATATAATAACCTAATTTACGTAAAACAGACGTGTTTCTGTTTTTATTTCGATAATGTTTCCTTTTATATCGTTTCAAAATCTCCACATAAATAAATCGAATCTAGGTGTAATTATTACACCTAGATTCGCAACAATTTTTTGAAGATCGCACAAACAGTTGTTCCATGCTAAATTCAAACTTACCACGCGTCACATTACAGTCAAGGATTAAACAATCGATTAGAAGGCTGTGCGACGGCACAGCCTTCTAATCGATTGTTTAATCCTTTGTATAGCTACATGGTTCTCTTTTTAAATTTATGTTCCATAATGTCCCCAGTGTATATAAGTCCTAGTAACGCTGTTGTTAAAGCACAAAGAGTGAGCTACCTCACCGACTCATCGTTTTAATTGAGTTTCAAGTTTTTGATACTGCTGCCGTACTTGTTCTACGTATACCGTGATTTTGTCAGCTATTGTTCTATTTTGCACCTATAGACAATGAATGAGAGTTGGTATTTGTTTGAAATTAATGCTGAATGAGTGAATGAATGAACTTTGTTCCATTCTTTTTTTGAACGTGCCTGCTTTTTGTTGTTTTTTTTTTGTTAGTGCTAAGCTAATGATGTTATTTTTTATTAGGTCGACCTGTAACGAACTATGTAATAAGATATAAGAATCGGAAATTCACACACTTCTAATTGTTGTATCATCATCAAACTTAGTAATTTTATGTATATTAAATGACAGTGGAAAGAACAGAAGGTGACTGATGGATTAAAAGTCACCTAGATAATGTAAGACAGGTCTTCGCATACGTGTTAAATTTAATTTAATAGTCGTGATCGCCCGGAGGGTTTAAGACGCCCGCTTCTCGTGCATGAGGGTACGGGTTCTAAACCTACCATCGGCAAGTACCAATGTGACTTTTTCTGAGTTATATGTACTTTCTAAGATTATCTAGACACCACTGACAAACGGTGAATGAAAACATCGTGAGGAAACCTGAGCTTATAATTTCTAATTATAAGTTTGAAATCGCCAACCCGCATTGGGCAAGCGTGGTGATTCATGCTCAAACCTTTTCCGTGTGAGAAGAGGCTTTGCTCAGCAGTGGGCATTTATAGGCTGTTGATGATGATACGTGTTAATTTTAATAGAAGTTAGAAAAAAACGGACATAATTTACTAATATAGGCAAGTAACAAGAAGAAACATAATACACTAGTCTATTCTACAGAACGAAACTAAATGCATAGAGCTCCTTCAACTACATAATTTATTCATTGCATAACGTTGAACTGTTGACAGAAACAACCATTGAGACACATACACACACGCTTAAGAAAATTTCATTATGCCTCAACTCACATGGGTACGGTTGCAGTATTTATTTATTTAGAAAACCTCACTTGCTTAAGCCTTGTGGTGCTGGCAGCATAGTATATATTTCATTTTGTCAACACCCCATATCTTCTCGTGTGTGTCGTGAGAACCGATATGTGGCACCACCACCATGTTTAAAACAATCATTCAAAGCTTTTTTTATTTCATTAGTTGATTCTGTAGCCCCATTAAATTTTTGACATTGTTCGTTCCATCGTTCTGCCATATAATGTATCAGTACAATGTATACATACACAATAGGTAAAAAATCAGATAATGTATCAGTAAGATTTTAAAAAACATTTTTTTTAAAGAGTAACGATGAGTTTCTTGCTCATTCTTCTCCATTCGTAACTATGCTTTGGAACGAGCGCCTAGCTTTACTGACAGTCGGACGGACAATCCAATTATTATTGATGTTTTGAGCCTAATTAAGGATTAAGTGAAATAAATGATTTGACAAAGCTGAAAAACTTCAATCACCAACCGGCTTATCAAGCATGAAGGTTAGGTATAGCAAAACCTTATGCTAGTCCACGACAGGTTAGAAGCCCATGACAGTTCAGTAGTGGACTATAACGAGCCGTTGTTGTTACTGACCATCTACTAAAATACTATAATAACCTTCTACCCAACAAATAAGATCTAAAATCCCTTGCTCAGCAATAGCTCATCCAACCAAAGAGTTCCTAGTCTCATCATCACAAAATGCAATTCTGACAGTTAATTAAAATACTTTGTTTGTCAACAACTAGTTCATTGTTCTGTTTTAGTTCGCGTGAAACAACATCTGACGTCAAAGTTACACCAGTTTTGTAATAAACATTTAGCATCACATCGCGCTTTTATTCCCAACGGACATAGACAGAGGTTTTAGTTAACAGTTTTGTTATATTTTGGTGGCTAGGATAGGTGCACTATTTAGTAGAGGTGCCTTATTTTTAAAAGGGGAAAATCATTAAATGACTTCTCCCGCCTGGGTGAGGCGGGAGGGAGTGTCAGACTCTGACTAAAAACCACCCCGTTCCTACTCCTGCACTTCCAGCCGGAACCTCGGCATCCTGTTAAGTCCTCCGTGGCTCCGTATCGGCATCAGCCCTATTGGGCCCCATCCGTGGTGATCTGAAGGATCATTAACAAATTATGAGTATTGTGAGATTGAAAATGCTAGAAAAAAATACCTTTAAATGATATATGATGCCGGACAAGGGGTCTCGCGGTCGATTCCGGGAAAAGTATTACTGGGTTTTTAAAACAAAAATCTCAGCAGTAGCACGGAGTTTAGAAATGTGCCCAGAATATGACAATAGGTTCACCCCCTATTACATGGGGCTTCATAACATAAATAGTGAAAAGTGGGTGTTATATTGTTGACTGGCATTAAGTGCCCTAATCTGCACTTATGCCTACACCTTAGAATAGGTCGCGGAGAACCTAACGGGTAACCGGGGCTCCGGCTCAACGTGCAGGAGAAGGAACGGGGTGGTTTTTAGTCAATAAGAGTCTGACACTCCCTCCCGCCTCACCCAGGCAGGAGCAGTAATTCGGTGATGTTCCCCTTAAAAAAAAACACCTTGGAATAAAAGGAATAAAAGGCGTGACGTAATGTTTATTAAGAAGCTCTTTATTCACAGAATGGCTCGACCAACCCACTTGGTGCTGCTCCTGGTCACGCTGGGCGTAGTACATACTTCCCAGGGTCACGCCCGCTCCTTCACCAGATGTCAACTGTCCAGAGAACTGCTGCGGTATAATTTTCCGAGGAGTATGATACCTAACTGTGAGTGTAAATTTTCTATCCAATTTTAGCGGAGCCATAAGAACTGTTTTATAACGTAACATACACAACGTAGGCAGAGGTGTAACACCCATTTTTCACCATTTATGTTATGAGTCCCATGTAATAGGGGGTAAGCCTATTGCTATAATATCGGGCACATTTCCAGACTCCGTGCTACTACTGAGATTTTTTTTTTAAATCCAGTAATACTTTGCACGACCTGGGAATCGAACCCGAGACCCCATGCCCGGTAGTCGCACTTGCGACCATTCGGCTATCGAGGGAGTCGTATAACTGTATTATAGTTCGTGTGAAATTATTATAGTGCCCAAGTGTGTGGCAAAAAATAAGAGGTGGATATACATACATAGAACTATCCTAATATCAGTAAGAATGCATGATATATGAATATGAATGATATATGAATGATACATGATATATGAATATGCTTTGACTGTGTCATCGGAATAAAAAAAAGTCTGTTTGGCACAGATATAGAAGCTTGATAGAAGATGTTGAGGCTTTGCACATAGATAAACAATTCGTACGATAGTTTTTGCGTTATCCTTCCTAGTCGTCTTCTTCATTACTGAAGGTCGTGTCTAGTCTGGTGCACGCGTCACTTGATGCACAACCCTCCTCCAAACGCCCCTGTCCTCTGCGGTCTTTATGGCTTGTGGAACTGTCAGGCCGGTTAGGTTTTTTACAGCATCCAACCACCGGGTAGGTGAACGACCGCGAGGTCTTTTCCCGTTAACCCGACCAACAACCACAAGCTTCTCCAGATTGTTGGGGTCTCTACGCGCAATGTGGCCAAAATAAGTTAATATTCGCTGCAGGCATACAGTGGACAGCCTCGTAGTAATTCCGATCTCCTTGAGAATGGAGACGTTGGTGCGACGAGCGGTCCAGGGAATACGGAGCATACGTCTCCAGCACCACATTTTGAAGGCGTCAATTTTTGCTCTCTCAGTTTTCCTTAGGGTTCAGGATTCGGCGCCATACAAGAAAATGGAGAAAACCAACGCACGCATCAGCCTCACTTTGGTCTTGCGACATATATTTCGGTCCTTCCATATCTTGGTGAGTTTCGTCATTGCTGATTTGGACATCTGGATTCTCCTTCTGATCTCTCCGTCGCTGCCACCCCCACCATCGATAAGAGAGCCCAGATAAATAAACCGATCCACAAACTCCAAGTCTCTGAGTTCATGTGAGCGAGTGCATGTCCCCATTCTGTCCACAACGAGCACCTTGGTCTTGTTTTTATTTATGGTGAGACCAACCAGTTCGCTCTCCTTCTCTACTCTTGCAATCAACTCAGCCATCTCGCTCTCGGACGATGCAAACAAGGTAGTATCGTCCGCATACCTTAGATTGCTGATTCTCCTGCCACCAACAGACAGCCCACGCTCCCACCCCTCCAGAGCTCGTCTCATTATGTATTCCCCATATATATTAAAGAGAATGGGAGACAGGATACAGCCCTGCCGGACTCCCCTCCGAGGCCTAAATGGATGCGACAGACGCTGTTTACTTTCACCACGGTGCTTCCATCCCTGTAAAGATTAGCAATGAAGCCACAAGGTGTTTCGGTACTCCCATTTCCCCCAGGATTTTCCACAGGCATTCCCATCTTACACAGTCAAAGGCTTTTGAGTAATCGACGAAGCACATGAACATTGGGATGTTGAATTCGCGACATTTTTCTATGATTTGCCTGATGTTTGCGATCTGTTCTCTAGTGCCTCGTCCCTTTACGAATCCTGCCTGCTCCACTGGAATCTGCCACTGCAGAAATGCCTTAAGACGCTCATTAACTACGTACAGAAGAACCTTACTAACATGAGAAATGAGCGCCACGGTTCTGTAGTTTCCGCAGGACTTCGTAGATCCCTTCTTATGTAGTGGAATCAGTACGGATTCCCTCCACTCCTTAGGCCAGCAACCAGTCCTCCATATCTGATTGCATAGATTTTGCAGAAAATTGACTCCAGAATCACCTATTTGCTTCAGGTCTTCAGCAAATATGGCATCAATGCCGGGTGATTTGTTTGCTTTCAATTTCTTTATAGCAAATTCGATTTCAGACTTCAGAATCTCTGGTTCCAGAGGTATGCTGTTGAAGTTGTCCTGGGGGTCCTCCGACGCTGCCGGATCCGCATATAAGGTTTCACAATATTCTCTCCATCTGTTGACCACCCCATCTATGTCAGTTATTAATCGACCATTTGTGTCCTCTACAGCCCAGGTCCTTGGTTTGAACTCACGCGTTATTGATTTTATTTTCATGAACAACTCCCTGGACTGCATATTCTGTGCATGATCTTCAATTTCCGTACAAATGTTGTTATAGTACTTGTTTTTATCTTGCCGACAGCGACGTTGAACTTCCCGCGATAGACTTTTGTATCGTTCTCGGTCATCATCCTTTGAGAGGTGTTTAAGTAGTTCTTTCTTTTCTTTGATAATGTCCAAGTCTCATCCGATAACCAAGAATAGCGTGGGGCCAGATGTTCAGTTTGACTCTCCCTGTGCGCTACCTGTAATAGTTCCTTGAACCTGTCCCAGCCGTTATTCACGCTCAAACCTCCATCTATCGGTGCTGCTGTTATTTCCTGCTGAAATCTTGCTTTGAACTTTATTTGTTCACCGGGTGTAAGCCTACGTTTTTTCTTGTCAGTGACACGAGGGCATTTTTTCAGCTTGATCGACATTCTGCTTACTAAAAGCGAGTGGTCACTGCTGCAGTCCGCACCCGGATATGTCTTGGTGTTCATAATGCACGACTTCCACCTCTGAGGCACGGCGATATAGTCGATTTGGTTTCTCGTTCTATCTCCAGGTGAAGTCCACGTGTATAGACGTCGGGGGTGGTGTTGAAACCAGGTGTTCATTATAGTGAGGGAATTAGCGGCACAAAATTGTAACCATCTGTCTCCTCTTTCGTTCCTCTCACCCAATCCAAAGCGTCCAACCACCTCTCTCAGATGATCGTCCCCCACAGTAGAGCCTACTTTCGCGTTCATATCTCCCATCACGATATTAATTTCTCTGCGAGGTAAAGAATTGTACGTGTCCTCCAGCTTATTGTAGAATGCTTCAATAGTCTCCTCATCGGCAGCGCTGGTAGGGGCGTACACCTGTATGATGTTCATACGGCATGGTTGCGTGTTCAGTTTGATTGTGATTATACGGTCACTCACAGATTATTCAAGCACACATTTATCCATTTCAGCCGTAACAGATATCGCCACTCCATTCTTGCTTTCACTTTCAGGTCCCGAGAAGTAGATAGTATGCCCTCTGTTCGTTTTGTAGAACCCTGTACCTCTCATATGGGTTTCGCTGAGGCCTAATAAGTCTAGCTTGTACGCTGACTGCTCCTCATCAATCATTTCCCTCTTCACTTCTCGGATCATACCACGAACATTCCATGTCGCAAGCGCTGCCACCCTTCTCAGCGACCGCTGGTTCCTAGATGTTCTCCCACCTTCACCAGTAGCATTTACTCCACACTGCGCCCGATGAGTCACTCCAGTGTGGCCAGTAGCACATTTCACACCATGCGACCTGGGATCGTCATGGCGCCGGGCGGCGGCCGGGTCGCATGCCAAAGCATCTCTAATCGCATTTATGTCCATACTAGATTTCTTGGGATGTTAGTGCAGTGGTTTCCCGTTGCTTTCTGCACCAGGTCTTTCGAGGAGTATTTTCTCCTCAGGCGTCTGTAGCCTCATCCAGATAGTTTCCTTCCTGGGTTTAGGTTATACCGCCTATGCTCGGTCGCCATTGCCTCGTCTGTTGTTTTGCGTTATAGTACTTCCATATCCTCTAAGAAATCTCATTTTCTGTTTACGTATTTTATAAACCGTGAATTATGTATACAGGTTTAAACCTTAGGGCCAAGTGAAACAAGTGAAACAAGTGAAACAAGTGAAACAAGTGAATTTATTTCTGCAAATAGGCTACAAGGCAGCACTTTTACACGTCAATTTTATCAAGCGAACGATGAGGTCGACATTTCCTAACTGACTACTCTGAGAAGAAATGCCGAAACAAACTCAGAGGTCTGTCTCTTTTAAAGTCCAGACAAATATGTATAAAAAGATTACGTGTGAGAACCGTGCAAGTTCTTTCTGTAGTGGCCTTTTGAGGAAAGAACCACAACAGTTTGAGCGGACCCGTTCTGAAAGCAGTACGCATGTGTCGGTTTACAGTCAGCTCAATTAACAGATGAGGCTGAGTGATTCGACGAACAATACCAACCTAAAGAACATTTGCGTGGGTCGCACAAATACTCAAACTGTCAGAGTATGAGTAAGAAATAAGAAAAGAAATAGCGAGGCAAAGTCTCGCACGGTCCTAGCACTAACAATTGTAAAAAATAGAGGTAAATGTCCAGTTTAAAAAAAATATAAATTTTTCAAATGAAAAACAATATCACATTATGCTAATAATGTCAAATTGCATATAAAAAGAAATGTAACTATATGTTACAAACATGTCAACATGACCTGTGTGGACGTTACAGCGGCTTATTCCCAAGCCAGACTATCATCTAGGTAGTCTTTTATTTTATAAAAAGCTTTACTAAAAAGTTTATCTTTAATGACATTTTTAAATTTATTTAGACTCAAATTTTGGATATGGCTGGGAATTTTATTGTAAAAGCGTATACTCTGACATCTAAACGAACCACTTATTTTCTTTAGTCTAGTAGTGGGAACAACATATTTGTCTTTATTTCTCGTGTTGATATTATGTATATCACTATGCTTTTTAAATAAACTTTTGTTTTTATGAGCATATACTACATTTTCATAAATGTATTGAGAGGCAACAGTCATTACATTAATTTCTTTAAATAGTTCCCTGAGAGAGTACCTCGGACTAAGATTATAAATTGATCGAATGGCCCTCTTCTGCAAAACAAAGATAGATTGAATGTCAGCAGCATTCCCCCATAGGAGAATACCGTATGACATAACACTATGAAA